TACACTGATAACCTCGCCCTCAACATAACACAGATAACATCCACCTCAACATAACACAGATAACATCGTCCTCAACATGAGGCAGATAACATCCAACTCAACTTAACACAGATAAAGTCGTCCTCAACATGAGGCAGATAACGTCGTCCTCAACATGAGCCAGAGAACGTCGTCCTCAATATTACACTGATAACCTCGCCCTCAACATAACACAGATGACATCCACCTCAACATAACACAGATAACGTCGCCCTCAACATCACACTGATAACGTCGCCCTCAACATAACACAGATAACGTCGTCCTCAACATAACACAGATAACGTCGTCCTCAATATTATACTGATAATGCCGTCATCATAACACAGATAACGTTGTCGTCAACATGAGGCAGATAACATCCACCTCAACATAACACAGATAACGTCGTCCTCAACATGAGGCAGGTAACATCGTCCTCAACATAACACAGATAACATCGTCCTCAACATGAGCCAGATAATGTCGTCCTCAACATGAGCCAGGTAACGTCGTCCTCAATATTACACTGATAACCTCGCCCTCAACATAACACAGATGACATCCACCTAAACATAACACAGATAACGTCGCCCTCAACATCACACTGATAACGTCGCCCTCAACATAACACAGATAACGTCGTCCTCAACATAAAGATAACGTCGTCCTCAATATTACACTGATAATGCCGTCATCATAACACAGATAACGTTGTCGTCAACATGAGGCAGATAACATCCACCTCAACATAACACAGATAACGTCGTCCTCAACATGAGGCAGATAACGTCGTCCTCAATATTACACTGATAACCTCGTCCTCAATATTACACTGATAACCTCACCCTCAACATAACACAGATAACATCCACCTCAACATAACACAGATAACATAGTCCTCAACATGAGGCAGATAACATCCACCTCAACATAACACAGATAACGTCGTCTTCAACATGAGCCAGATAACGTCGTCCTCAATATTACACTGATAACCCCGCCCTCACCATACACACAGATAACATCCACCTCAACATAACAGAGATAACATCGTCCTCAACATGAGGCAGATAACATCCACCTCAACATAACAGAGATATTATCGTCCTCAACATGAGGCAGATAACATCCACCTCAACATAACACAGATAACGTCGTCCTCAACATGAGCCAGATAACGTCGTCCTCAACATGAGCCAGATAACGTCGTCCTCAATATTACACTGATAACCTCGCCCTCAACATAACACAGATCACGCCCACCTCAACATAACACAGATAATGTCGCTCTCAACATAACACAGATAACGTCGTCCTCATCATGACACAGATAACGTCGCCCTCATCATAACATGGATAACGTCATCCTCAACATAACACAGATAACGTCGCCCTCAACATAACACAGTTAACGTCATCCTCAACATAACACAGATAACGTCGCCCTCAACATAACACAGATAACGTCGTCCTCAACATAACACAGATAAAGTCGTCCTCAACATGACACAGATAACGTCTTCCTCAACATAACATAGATAACATCCACCTCAACATAACACAGATAACGTCTTCCTCAACATGAGGCAGATAACGTCGTCCTCAATATTACAATGATAATGCCGTCGTCATCATAACACAGATAGCGTCGCCCTCAACATAACACAGATAACATCCACCTCAACATAACACAGATAACGTCGTCCTCAACATAACACTGATAACGTCGTCCTCAACATAACACTGATAACGTCGTCCTCAACATAACAGTGATAACGTCGCCCTCAACATAACACAGATAAGGTCGTCCTCAACATAACACAGAAAATATCCACCTCAACATAACACAGATAAGGTCGTCCTCAACATAACACAGATAACGTCGTCCTCAATATTACACTGATAATGCCGTCATCATAGCACAGATAACGTCGTCCTCAATATTACACTGATAATGCCGTCATCATAGCACAGATAACGTCGTCCTCAACATGAGGCAGGTAACATCCACCTCAACATAACGTCGTCCTCAACATGAGCCAGATAACGTCGTCCTCAACATGAGCCAGAGAACGTCGTCCCCAATATTACACTGATAACCTCGCCCTCAACATAACACAGATAACATCCACCTCAACATAACACAGATAACATCGTCCTCAACATAACACTGATAACGTCGCCCTCAACAAAACACTGATAACGTCGCCCTCAACATAACACTGATAACGTCGCCCTCAACATAACACAGATAACGTCGTCAACAGGTCCTGGTCAACATAACACTGATAACCTCGCCCTCAACATAACACAGATAACGTCGTCAACAGGTCCTGGTCAACATAACACTGATAACCTCGCCCTCAACATAACACATATAACGTCGTCAGCAGGTCCTGGTCAACATAACACTGATAACCTCGCCCTCAACATAACACAGATAACGTCGTCAACAGGTCCTGGTTAACATAACACTGATAACGTCGCCCCCAACATAACACTGATGACGTCATCCTCATCATGATTTGATTAGAATGAAATTTAAGGCGGAAGTCCACCCGTATCCCCCCTAAATTTTACCGCTGAGTGGCATTTTTAGAAGTTGGCTATGTATTTCAGTATGTTCAGATACAATAATAGAATCATGTTAAAACACATCCTTATCAGATGAGGAATATATATTCAGGCGATATGATTTGAATGAATACAAGCGGAAGTCTTTCCGTAAAAACTTTCACTGACGAGGACAAAACACAATATAACATTATCTTTTAAGACGCAAGTTCCCTTGGGTTACAAGCCCCCAGTGGTTCTCTCTCACATTTCACTATTCCATGATCCCAAACATAGTAACACATATTGTAAAACTCACCAGTCACTTAAAACACTTGTCCATACGCCTGAGGTGCATTATCTGCCAATGCTGCAATGTTCAACATTAAGCGATGTCACTTTATTATTTTTCCTTGAAGAAACACTGAGCCTTTTCCAGACATCTCCGTGACACGTCTTGTATCGTCAGGGAACTTCCTTGAGTTCGTCGTCGTGAGACTCTCTGCTTACACACCCCACAGTGTGAATGGACAGGTTGAGGAAACCTACCGACCGGCCTAGGCCAAACGGGATATTATAGGCCGTTCTGCCTATTTTGCTATAGGCAGAACGGCCTATAATTATGATATTTATGAAAAAAATTTGAAGTGGGGCATTTCGGCATGAGGATATTAACATGATTCAAGTTTTGATGTCCTACGGTTTTCATTCAAACCCTTTTTGAGAATTTTCATCACATAATAAAGGAGTTGGAAATTGCTAATCAAATATATAAGTCTATAATATATTTTGACAATTTTCACTAAAAATCAATGGCATAGATATTCAGTGTTAGTTTTCAAAAGGAAACTCTATGCAAAATTGTGTTCTTAATGAAACATCGTTTCCTGAACATTATATAAATTTCCATTTTGTCCAAAAAACTTATTTTTTTCAAGCTGAGGAGGTCCATTAACTAGTCATCTCTATGATCATATAAAACCATTTTGTGCGGAAATTGATAGTTTATGAAATAATTCGAAAAATGTTCAAATATAGCCCGATCGGCCTACACAGAGACCATATCGATATATGGTCTCTGGCCTACAGCAAAATAGGCAGAACGGCCTATAATATCATGTTCGGCCTATTATAGACCGATCAGTAGATTCCCCAACCTGTTGTATCGTCAGGGAACTTCCTTCAGTTCGTCGTCGTGAGACTCTTTGCTTACACACCCCCCAGTGTGAATGGAGGGTAGACACAACCGTCCTGCTTTTCCGTCTCTGTCATAAACAACTTCCAAACAGTATTGACGTCGGACGCTTTGAAATGTAACAAATATTCTTTAAACAATCACTGAATGTTGACCGTGTTCTTGTCTTTTAGAGTCCGACATTATTGTTTCATCCATTCGCGTACCTCCACTCTCAGCTGTCCAAAAGCTGCACGTGAACTCTCACTTACCCGAGGTCACGTGACAGCTCATCACGTTTTATCGTATACCGCGAATCCTCTTGTGTTTCACTATAACGTACTCTAATGTTTTTAATTCTTTCTGGAGGATTTATGAAGCAAATGTCTTGCATTTATACCTTTTTATAAGTTGAATAAAATCACTAGATTTTGATAGAAAATGCAAACAGTTGGGTTCAAGTCTAACCTTCAGATGAAACAATGCCAATCTGGACCCAAGCTTCAACCAAAGGATGTTTAACCCCCACTCGAGATTGAACCATCCAAGTTCTGGCACACTTGCGACCAGTGGATGAAAACGATTAAACTAATGACTTGACATGCTTTTCCCATCCTGACCACAAGCTCCATAATAATAACATGAACCTCTGAGTCGGAAATCTGTTATCATCCTGTTTAAAAACCTGGAACATGATCTCATAAAATCCATTCAAATACATTATACTTGATATCGGAAATGATACCTAACGTTTAACGTATCTAAACATTTTATATAGTATAGAATCACACATGTTCCCTCGCACAACTCAATGCTCATATTTCAAAGCGTATAGATTGAAACAATCAAAAGTGTTTTGAAATACGATGTATTCTGTAAGCAGGAATTGTGTAAAAAAAATTCCAAATCATGCAATGTCTGCAACTCTGGTTGTAACCATGACAAATCTGACTGACTGACTGACTGAGTTTGGTTTTACGCCGATTTTAGCAATATTCCAGCAATATCTCGGCGGGGGACACCAGAAATGGGCTTCACAAATTGTACCCATGTGGGGAAGCGAACCCGGGCCGTCGGCGTGAGGAGCGAACGACAAATCTGAAAGCAATCATAATAAATATAGCATACTATAACGAACAATATATTTTGTTATTACATACTGACTTTGTGTTGTGAAAACAATGTGTTCGTCAACTTCTTCTAAGTAGCATATTACCCCTGAATGTGGTATGAGATCTCAATAAAACAAAAATCCAGTTGTAGAAAAATGTTTTATTACAATTTCTAAGTACCACCATATGGTGCTAATTCTTCTCTGTCCTGTATGAGACAAAATATTCTGATATTTGAACCTCTAATACTATGTCGGTGTCATTTTCTACTGATGCATCTGGAATTACTGACTACTAATATCTAACTCAAAAACACCACTCTGTCTGCCTTGAAAAAGTTCTATTCTTGTTCATTGATATTCGGAAATACATTTCGGAAATGCCATTTGATCCTGTGTAGAGAGTAAACATCAATATTTTATGTCTACTTCCATATGCCGAGTACCTTTTTTTTCTGAAATTGCCGCAATATATTTTATGTGCGCTCCTGACAATTACCAAATATTAAACGCAAGGACGGTGACGTTAAAAGTCACCAGTTTACAAATTGAGTATACAGATATTTAGCAAAATGAAATGAGACTTGTGTATATTCACATGTTCAGTTAATTTAATATAGGATTAAATATTTTGTCTGTAAAATCCTGACTACTCTTCATGCACGGGGCACTGACACATCTCAGGGTGTTCATTTGTTACACACGTCACACAACGCCATGACGTCATGAACAAAACACTTGACCATTCTAATACAATTCAAAATGATTAAAACCGCTCCTATAATATTAACAAAGCTCTTCTATTTTCATTTAAGGTTACACAAATATATTTCACATTCTAAAAAAGTCTTACAAGTTGAGAAAATCATTAGTGTCCTTTTCTCTGTTAGATAGTACTATTATTATATGTTTAATATGCAACTCAGCTTTGTTCACTTCATCTATCATCATGTACTCAAGGAATGTCACGGTGCGACTATCTCTCGAAACTATAAGTATTGCAATGTTATGTTCACGACGCGATACAGGTAGTGTTACTCTGATCACAATACGATACGTATCGCGATATTTTGATCACAATTCGATACGTATCGCGATATTTTAGTCACAATACGTTACCCATCACGATATTTTGTTCACAGTACGTTACGTATCACGATATTTTGGTCACAATACGTCACGTATCGCGATATTTTAGTCACAATACGTTACGCATCACGATATTTTGGTCACAATACGTCACGTATCGCGATATTTTGGTCACAATACGTTACGCATCACGATATTTTGTTCACAATACGTTACGTATCGCGATATTTTGGTCACCATACGTTACGTATCACGCTATTTTGTTCACAATACGTTACGTATCGCGATATTTTGGTCACAATACGTTACGTATCACGATATTGGTTCACAATAGTTACGTATCACGATATTTTGTTCACAAACGTTACTCATCATGATATTTTGTTCACAATACATTACGCATCACGATATTTTCACAGTACAATAGTTTAGATTTTTCATATAATGAATTTCACATCCAATACAGTATACTGCTACATATGCTATATTTGGAGTTACACTTTCTCCGAAAAGTATACGAACCGATTATAGTACATGTTGGTGAGTCCCCAACTAAGTACTAGAATCTGTACTTTACTGAGAAATTGTAATCCCGAATTTAACATACCGTATTTCCTCTAATAAGCTCCCGGCCGCTTATTTTATCAACGGACTTCCATACCTCGCGCTTAATAGAGGCCCAGCGCTTTTGCGCCTGCTGGGGGTAATTACCGTAATTGTTACCGAACTGATTTACCCCCGGCGCTTATTAGACTCCCCGCGCTTATCAGAGGAAATACGGTATGTGACATTTGACCACTTTATAAAAGGCACTGTGTATTCGGATTACAGTATACTGTTAATATATCTCCTTGAAAAGCGGCAGGCCATGAGGACCCAGAACCATAAATCAGAATGTGTAGGTCCTATATTGTAGCTACAGTATAAGTAATCCCCAGCAAACATGGCCATAAGGACCTGCAGAAAACAAAAGCTGTGGGTCAGAGTGGTTTTCAGTCGTAATGGGGCCTTAGGACCGACGTTAATTTTGACCGCTCTTCTGTTGGCAGTATGTTTAAAAAACTGTGACAAATGAAAGAATACTACAAAACAAAAAATGGGAAGGATGTCGCAAAGTAATCACGACTAAATGATGGGGGAGGGGCGTCATTCAAACGCCATTCAAAGTACGGATGGATCTGTTCAAGTTGGATTCGTTTACATTGAATGAATAAAGTCTGGTTGTAAACAAGTCTGTAGCAGATGAGGAACTTCAGAGCGGGTTCATACACCTTGCTTGAGTACAACGTGTATGATCTGAGTAATGTCAGCTGTGTAAAAGGAGCGGTGGGGTAGCCTTGTGGTTAAAGTGTTCACTCGTCACACTGAATGTCCAGGTTCGATTCACCACTTGGGAACAATGCGTGAAACCAATTTCTGGTGTCCCCACCGTGATATTGCTGGAATATTGCTTAAAATCGCGTAAAACAATACCCACTCACTCGTTTTGTAAATAGTGACATAAATATGTCACTGCAAAAAGTTTGACTTGGAGGATTATTGTATTTGTGAGTGAATGTTAGGGGTCAAGGTCACGTCGGAACAGAAGGTCACGGTCAAGTCGTATCAGAAGGTCGTGGTGAATTTGCCGTTGTCATCAACCGTTGTCAATACGGGATTATCTATCCCGCAGTTGGAACATGAAGTGTCATTAGTTAGAAGGGGAGCTTCCATCCGCCCCACGTGGTAATCGGCATCCCCTGACGATATCTGCCTCTGGGGGTAGTTTGCTGTTGCAGTCTGGGTAAGATCCGGGGTCACCCCGTTTGGAGATGTGATACTCCTTGGGTCGTGGGTCACTCCCTCCAGAGATTTGGTAATCTGTGGGTCAATGTCAGATTCTTCAATGAGATCCTCAAGTACCTCTTTCCCTGGAGCAGTGTTGAGATCCTTTGGAACGTGGTGAGCACTGTCCAGTCTCTGGAAGATCACGGCTAGGCTGACCGTTGACGGGCTCACCGGCGGCCATGATGGATTCCCTGAAATGTCGTCTTCAATGGCGGCATATTTTGTCTTCGAGGAAGGGAGACAGTTTTTGAAGAAATTTCGACAGCTCTGCTGGAGAGAAGTGTTGTCCATCACGTATGTCTGTAGAAAACAGAGAATATTGGCTAATGTTATCACACAGCCTGGTTATTTCATTGACCTGGTAAGGTGCTATGGAGGTCACATGCTATACCAGATCCCCCCAACCTATCCTGGGGTTGTAAGCGGTGACCCAGTGTATTAGACTCTTAGTATTAGGCGATCAAAATGACTGACTTGGTTGATGCACATCATCGTATATCAAGTACGTAGATACCTTCTTTGAGTGGCATTTTCGAAGTTGGGAAGTACAATATGGAAAAAACTTTATGGATAACAACTTCTTTTTATTCGTGAGTGCGACGACCAAGGATACTTCATTCCATCCGCTTATGATGCACTTATCCACCAAGCCCAACCTACTGTATAAACTCTGCTGTATAAAATCTCGTTATTATTTGTACATCATTGGCTCCCACGCCTGTCCTTTGTCTACTCTCTGGCTTCATCAGCTCTCTGCCTAGCCAATTATGTTAATTATGTTGTTTTCTTTGTTACATTGTTACATCCAGTATATATACACTACCCCCTTCTTCGTGTTCCATTATGCTTGACAACGGTACAAGAATCTGTATCGGAACGTCGCACTCACGAATAAAAAGTTGTTATCCATAAAGTTTGTTCTATATAGTACGTAGATAATGCCAATCTCTGGATTGTCTGGTCCAGAAGTGATTAAAACCTTCCTCTGTCATATGGCTGGAGTATCACTGGCTGCAGCGTTAAACAGCAAACAAACAAACAAAGAAAGTGGTATACTGTCTGCATTGCGTCCTCAGATATTACGCTGACAGGTTCTTTGGCTGAGTTAAGCTTACAACTAAAATCCAGGAGGAACCCAGACCACTTCTTGATTCCCCAAAGCTAAGGCAATGTAGACTCGCAAACGCTTAAGCTGGACTCATTGTAAAATTGATTCTCTGGGATCTGGGAGGCAGACCAATAGGCTCTCAAATAACTGGAATAGAGTTAAGTTAAGTTCAGTTGTTCACATGGTCAGATTGTTTGTCGTTAAACGCCGCCCTCAGCAATATTCCATCTCAATGGCGGCAATCTGAACATAATAGAGTCAGGACCAGACAATCTAGTGATCAACACAATGAGCATCGATCTACACAATTGGAATACGAGTCAACCAAGTCAGCCAGCCTGACCACCCGACCCTCTTAGTCGCCTTTTACGACAAGTATGGGTTACAGAATTCTAACCCGGATCTGCACGGGTCTGTTCACATGGACTACTCACCTCAACCAAGATAGAAATCAGGAAGTTGAAGAGAGCAATGCCGACGTGCACCATGGCATAAGGTATGGACGGGAACGACAGCAACTACCAATAGAAGTTCCAATGTTGTGTCTCATTATGGTGATCAGGAGATGAATATTACGCGTTTTCAGAGTTGCAAGTGTTATTGAGTATTGCATACTGGGATATATTCAAAAGTAACATTTGTATTCCGCCTCTTAGTGAGTGAGTGAGTGGGTGAGTTGGTATTTACGCCACTTTTAGCAATATTCCAGCAATATCACGGCGGGGGACACCAGAAATGGGCTTCACACATTGTACCCATGTGGGGAATCGAACCCTGTCTTCGGCGTGACGAGCAAACGCTTTAACCACTAAGCTACCCCACCGCCCCTTTTTACGCCGTGAAGCTAAACCACAATACAGAGCAGCAGATACAAAATCCATTCTTTTCAGTTTTATTATCAAACAAAAGAGTGGTTGAGAATATTAGCAACGTCCCCTGCCGTTGGGTTATGGCAGCACACACTGAAGAACATGACTTTAGTCACTTTTACTTAATGCCAGAAATGTAAATCCTTATTTAAAAAACAAAATCTCAAAAACAAAATAAATTAAATGCAATAGAAGTCTTGGACATGTTCTTAATTCCTGAGGCAATCTATACTTGGTCAGTCATGCTGGGCTAGAGATGGATTGTTTCGTAAAATATACTCTCTTGCGTCTCAGAGATACACCATCATTAACCACATTTTCTGTCACTTAAAACGGGAAGTAACTGAAGTGTGGCCCCAGCCAGGATCCTACCTCAAGTATGTCCGCTAGTCCCTGTGTGGGCTCTGTAGAGATCCACAAACAGCCGGCCAAACAGACAGCGATGTTCAGGAGGAACAAGTCTGGAACCAATGATAATACATCTTATCCTAGATTTAGAGTTCTGAAGCTTCACAGCATATTCACCGGACCTTTATTTATGCGCCCTCTTTTCTTGACTAAGCATCACGCCTTCATGCCTCCTCCAAATTGAGTCACAAAGATGGAATCCAACCACCCACACTGTTAACCAATGGTGCTGAACTCTGGTATTTCGTAATTCCAAAGACCTTCGAAATCAACATATTATGTTGTCCAAAATATTAATGTATCGACATACGTTTCACAATCAGGCTAGCTATTCTCGAAACGTTCGTAGCCCTACGAACTTCTTAAGGCCATTCTTAACACATTGGCTACGATCAAAGTTAAGAATTCTTTGGGCTAAGATCGTTTGGAGAATAAGGGCCCAGAAATTAAAACTATGAAATCTGCATGTTGGCCACTCATTCACGTATGTTTTGTTCCCTATGTCTCGCATGCCATTATATATATCTTCCACAGCAATGTCTCTGTTCTGAAGATTGCAGCTTGGTCATGTCTAAAGCTGTATACTTACAATTGGAAAATATAGACTTTCTAAATGGCGCTCCCTTAGAAAAGGCGACCGCCAGCGTGATGTATTGGTAGTTTGAAACCAGGAAGACGGCGGAGTTCTCGTAGCTAGCGTAGTAGTCGTCCTCGTTGTCGATGTAGGGCACAAACCTGCAACAGTAACAACACACATTTAACAGTGACAACACACATTCAACAGTGATGACAGACAACAGTGATGACAAACCTCAACAGTGACAACAAACATTCAACCGTGTCAACACACATTTAACCGTGTCAACAAAAGTTCAACACTGACGACAAAAACATCAACAGTGACAACAGTGAGTCCGACAAAGAATAAGTTCTTTCTAAATTATGTTTTGAGTTTGTGTTACATCTATCCAAAGCACAAGTTACATCATCAGGACATAGCCAGAAAATACCGGAAAGTTCAGGGTATGCATACTAAAAGAATGGAAATTATTGTTCTGGAGATTTCGGGCTATTTCTTAGTTTAACGCAGCACAAAGCAACTCTAAAGCTATGAGCAGCGATCTGTAAATAATCGAGCCTGGACCAGACAATCCAGTGATTTTCTGTATTAGCATCGATCCGCGCAATTGGGATACGATGACGTGTGTCAACCAAGTCAGCGAGCATGAACACCCGTTTCCGTTAGTCGCCTCTTACGACAAGCATGGGTTACTGAAGACCAATTCTAACCTGGATCTTCCGCTACCTACCAGGGTTGTTTCATGACATGGAGGAAGCAGTACACCTGTACGCCCAGCTGTATGGCCATCTGGGTCAGTATGGACAAGATGGGGGCGACGGCTAATAGACTGAACGGCGGAAGCTCCTTCACCAGCTCCGCACATGGGCCCGTCCGACCGACTGAAACAAGGGCGATAACATGAGTGAGTGAGTGAGTGAGTGAGTGTAGTTTTACTGCCTTTAGCAATAACAAGGCAATATCACGGCGGGGGCAACAGAAATGGGCTTCACAAGTTGTACTTATGTCGGGAATCAAACCCGGATGTTCGGCGTGACGAACGAACGTTTTAACCACTAGGCTACCCCACTGCCCCGGAGATAACATGAAGAGAGTGTTTGTTGATGGTGTTGTTGTTGTGATACGCCGCACTCAGCAATATTCCAGCTATATGGCGGCGGTCTGAACATAATAGAGTCTGGACCACACAATCCAGTAATTAACAGCATGAGCATCGATCCACGCAAATGGGATACGATGACATGTGTCAACCAAGTCAACGAGTCTGACCACCCGATCCTGTTAGTCGCCTCTTACGACGACCATGGGTTGCTGGTTGATTGGTTGTATAGTTTTAGGGCGACGTGGACCAATATGAGGCCTATTTGCGCCCACATGGGTTGCTGAAATAAGAGAATGATTGTCTCCCTTGAGTTGAATACCACTTGGGCACACAGAAACTGATGAAACTTTTGAGAGGTTTTGTGTCGCAGGATTTCTCGATTGTTGACTGACTGACTGGCTGACTGTTGTGTATGTTGTGAAATTTGGCGTCTTTGGTTTCCTGTGCTTAATTCTCGGGGTTGAGAGGGAGACAGTGTTACCATGGTTACCTACCCGTGATCCTGATGGTTGCAAAGCAGATCGTGTTACCATAACAGTTACACAAACAATGGTACTGAGGGCTGTGACGGAGACAGTGTTACCATGGTTACCTACATGTGATACTCAGAGATGTGACGATGAACAAGTCGATGACCAGGAACCCGGCATCAGTGAGATTTGCTCCGATCTGGAGGACACAAAAATGATTACAACTACACATACTACACTTATACTGACATTTAAAGCGTCTATCAAGTGTACTGCATTCCTACATCTGATTGTGTTCATGCTGAAGTATTTGTTACCACTGATCAATGAACCTCACCAGAAAACTAAAATTTGTATAATATTCTCAATAATTCTGGCAATGGAATCAAACCCTGGTCTTCTGAATGACAAGTCTACACCTTAACCACTTGGCTACTAAAAGCGTTAATGTTTTGGCGAACCGGCCGACCGAGTGAGAGGATTTGGTTTTACGCCGCTTTTAGTAATATTCCAGCAATACCATTGCGGGGGTCTCCACATTGTACTCATGTAGAGAATCGAACCCGGGTCTTCAGCGTGATGAGTGAACACTTTTACAACTCGACTACCCAACCGCCCTCGCCCGTTTCTGTCAACATGCCACTATGATATCTTGAATGAAACAGAGGGCCATTCAACTACAATCCACCTGACATATATGCAGTTTGTTTGTCTGTTGTGTAACGCCGCACTCATCAGTGTTCCAGATATATGGCGGCGATCCGTAGATAATCAGGTTTGCACCAGACAGTCCAGTCATCAACAACATGAACATCAATCTACGCAATTGGGATACGATGATATGTCAACCAAGTCAGCAAGGCCGATCCCGTTAGTCGCCACTTACGGCAAGCATGGGTTTAACGCAGCACTAAGCAACTCTAAAGCTATATGCAGCGATCTGTAAATAATCGAGCCTGGACCAGAAAATCCAGTGATTTTCTGTATTAGCATCGATCCGCGCAATTGGGATACGATGACGTGTGTCAACCAAGTCAGCAAGGCCGTCCCCTGATCCCGTTAGTCGCCACTTATGACAAGCATGGGTTGCTGAAGACCAATTCTAACCCGGATCTTCACAGGTCTACACTGATGTACATAAACCAGATAATACAATGCCATCTAGCTGACCCAATACAGGAGCAGGACTGAGATGAACTGCGTCAGACTGTAACACGCCATGAACTTGAAGATTCCGAAGGATGTCACGAGCGCCGCTCGGCCCTGCCTGAAACCATGCACCAAAAGGTCATCTGGCAATTGATGCAGTGCAGCTATGCTGCAAAATCATGCAGAAATAATGCAGTTTAAATCATGGAATACAGAGTATGCATGCGTAATTTGAGCACTGATGAAAGTTGCGATCATCAATGCATGAGAACACATAGGCTTACTCTTTGTCTCTGAATATAAATCCAGTAGAAACAAACAATTCCTTTTAAACTGAAATGGAGCCCCAGTGAGATGGGTGAACTTGAGGAAATCTAGACTTGCTTCATTTGAGGATTTAGTATTGCTGAAGGGAAATATAATGTTGTTCAGGGACTAGAGAACACACACAGGGACCAGTGATACCTGATCAAAGTATTTACACCTCACAAACATAAAAGCATTAAGTATAATGTTGTGGTTACTATTTCGGAATGGACGTCGCAACACTGATCTGATACAACACCCAACCGGAAAATTCTTGCACTGGAATTATTAATGCGTGGCAGAACAGTGACGAGTGCCACACATAACTCTGAAAACAACATGGAGACGTGCACTGGGTATTTGATGCAGTAGACATCCTGCACTACAGATACACGTATCATTGATGTATTCATATCATTGATGTATTCATATCATTGATGTTTTCATATCATTGATGTATTAATATCATTAATGTATTCATATCATTAATGTATTCATATCATTGATGTATTCATATCATTGATGTATTCAGACCGCCTCCGTGGTGTAGTGGTTAGAGCGTCCGCCCGGAGAGCGGAAGGTCGCGGGTTCGATCCCCGACCGCGTCATACCAAAAGACGTTAAAATATGGTACTTGTTGGTCCCTGCCTGGCGCTCGGCATTAATGGGTACATCAAGGACTGGTCGGCTCGGAGTCAGTTTAATGTGTCTGAGTGGGGTATTCATGCTTCACTGCGGCATGGTATCTCAGTGGGCTAGCACTATAAAACCAGCTTAAGTCTGGGCTAGTACAAGCAGCCGCACCTACACATACACACGCAAGCACGTAGTCATATGAGCGAAATATTCTCAAGCACGACGTTAAACCCGATTTCACCTCACCTCACCTTGATGTATTCATATCATTGATGTATTCATATCATTAATGTATTCATATCATTGATGTATTCATATCATTGATGTATTCATATCATTGATGTTTTCATATCATTGATGTATTCATATCATTGATGTTTTCATATCATTAATGTTTTCATATCATTAATGTATTCATATCATTAATGTTTTCATATCATTGATGTATTCATATCATTGATGTATTCATATCATTAATGTATCATCCATGCGTTAGAGTGAGTGAGTATGGTTTTACGCCGCTTTTTAGCAATATTTTTGGACACCAGAAATGGGCTTCACACATTGTACCCATGTGGGGGATCGAACCCGGGTCTTCAGCATGACGAGCGAACGCTTTAACCACTAGGCTACCCCACGGTCTTTACATGCGTTAGACCAGGCCCTATGTAGGCTACCTACCTGATGACATTAGGCACACACTCGATGGTGGGCTTCTTGGACGTGAAAGGCGAGGCTACAGAAGCTTCAGCCTCCGACAGAGATATGCCGGCATGGGCTGTTTTCAGTGCTCCGCAGTCGTTAGCCCCATCACCACACATTCCGACATAGTAACTGGTAAAATAGGATTTGAATTATTTAAAATATGTCATGTTTTAATTGTGTATTCTTTGTAACATCAAGCAACAAATCTGTATTATTTGCCCCAAACCATACCTATGCCATCGTTCCAAGCATTATTTCTCCAAAATGTTACGTTTTCAGAATTATAACTGACACGTAGTAAGGAATTAGAAACTAATTTCAAACGTAATCACTTCAATCCGTTAAATCAAATATATATCAATAAAATATACTCGAAAGTAAAAGTTATTGTAACACACAGACAACAAACGGAAGTAGTGTTATTTATTTGGAAAGTGAGTGAGTGAGTGAGTACGCCGCTTTTAGCAATATTCCAGCAATATCACGGCGGGGGGACACCAGAAATGGGCTTCACACATTGTACCCATGTGGGGAATCGAACCTGGGTCTTCGGCGTGACGAGTGAACGCTACCCCACCGCCCCTAAACAGGAATGAGATACAGCAAAAGAAAAGACTCACTCTAATGCCTGCAAGCTCTCCACCAACTGCGCCTTTTGCTCTGGTCCCATGCGTGCAAAGACAGTCCCCTTGACGACGATCTGAATAGTCCATAACTTTATACATTAACAGGTTGCCATGTATAGTTTGTTCCCAGGTTAACCCATAAGAGGTTCACATTTAGTTGGGCAGTTTTTTCTGTTCCTAACACATATCACCAATTTTTCAGTCTTGTCATGCATAAAGCTTATTGTTTGATGCACATTTTTTGATCAACACATTACGTAAAGAAGGATCATAATCCTACTTCTGGAATAAACATATCAGACTTTTTTCTCAGACTCAAACCATGCTATTGTTAACCATTCACAATTGTGCACAGCGACTGATGTTTCAGGTTTACTGATTCAAACTACTGTCGAGAAAGACCATTGAATTCCTGACGTTTATATGCAATCAATGACCTCAGATGTGATGAAATTAAACAAGGATTATGGGGATGATGACTATGGTAGACGAAGGTCACTGAGGACCAATCCCAAGCATATGTGAAACAAATTAGAATTCTTCACTATTGCAGGTGTACGTTCCAGGGATCACCATGCTCGTTGCTAAGGAAACCAAAACTTTGATCCCAGTTTACAAAGCCGTAAAGCAATCGTTGCGATATCGTAAAAAGTAGCAGGATCCGTCATCTGTTACCTCACACTGATGCACATTAGACCCCTAAGTCAGTCAGGGTCCCGATCCATAAAGGCTCGTAGCATTACGACTTGTCGTTACTCTAAGCTTTACCATGGGCTTACGAATGTTGTAAAATGTGGTAGGATCTGTCACTCAAATGTGCCCTAACACCGATGTGCATTATTCGTGTGTGTCATTGATTCCTTTATTGATCAAATAGGGTGCCGATCCACAAAGCCGTCGTAGCTTTACGGCCTGTCGTAACTCTAACGTTTATTATGGGCTTACGAATGCCGTATTGCTACGGACGCTTTGTGAATGGAGATCCAGGCTTTGTGACTCCGTGGCTTGCTTGGACCAATGGTCTGATGTTACCACTGGTCCGGATTCCGCCAAGATGGAGCAGTGATGAAAGAATAGTAAAAAAGTCAACTAAAACACACTACGCCCTACCTTCGACATCAGGTCGGGGAAATGCTGTCTTATGACAGCCCAGGACTTCCCCGTCAGAGCGAAGCGGAAACTGTCGTTGTCCATCTGTAGGGCGATGGAATCCTGGAAGATAGGGTGAGTGAGTGAGTTTAGTTTTACGCCGCGCTCAGCAATATTCCAGCTATATGGCGGCGGTCTGTAAATAATCTAGCCTGGACCAGGCAATCCAGTGATCGACAGCAGGAGCATCGATCTGCGCAATTGGGAACAGATGACAAGTGTCAACCAAGCCAGCGAGCCTGACCACCCGATCCCGTTAGTCGCCTCTTACGACAAGCACGGGCTACTGAAGATCAATATTCTAACCCAGATCTTCAGGGGTATGAATGTCGTTCCATGCAGCATCAATAACATGCAGCGGAGGGGACATATTGTTGATCAGTGGCGTGAAAACAAAAACACTCACTAAAACAGGTAAGAAACTATAGTGTGTCAGAATGTACATATGATTTACTTCTTTTTAGTACAAAGATTGCCAAAGATAACATGCTAAGAAAAATGTCCAACGATATAATAAAATGCACAAAAACACCAAGCTTTTCGATACTATTCCTCTCTTTGACGTTGAATTCTGTTCCAGTGAAAGGTGAAACTGGGTCTAATGTCGTCTTCAAGATCATTGCACAAATCGCTGGAGATGTTTATGCTATTAAGCGTTTGTGTGTGCGTGTGTATGTGCCTATACGTTTGCGTGCGTGCGCGCGTCTGTGTGTGTGTGGTTGCTTGTACTGGTCCCGACTACAGCCAGTTTGGGCAGTGCTAACCCAATTAGGTCACGTGTCGCAGTTTAACATGGCGACAGGAAACTAGCTGACCATATGCTGACTCTAAGCCAACCAATCCTTGAGTTATCACTGTAAACAATGCAAGTGGTAGCAGGCTACAGGATCCGTGCGAAATTGGGACTGAACATGTTTTGGTTGACCAACGAAACCAAAAACATAAGCAATAAGAAAGTTGATCAACTGAATGAGACAGAAACCAAAGGGCTTATACCAAAACTTGTTTCAGCGAGTGAGTGAGTGAATGTGGTTTTACTCTGCTTTTTGTAATGTTTAGGCGATATTAGGACAGGGGACACCAGAAATACCCGTGTGGGGAATCGAACCCGTGTTAAGGGACCGTTTTAACAAGAAAGCTTCTCCGCCGCCAGTGGGATCTTAAAGATATATCGATGCAAGCACAAGTACATGCAAAATATTCATGAATCGTAAACAATTTCGATATTATTTTTACCTTGCCAAATTTCTTTTCCTTCTCATCGGCGAAAACAAACTCTATTTCTGGACCTGTCTTGTCGGCCTGTGGAGGGTAGGCTTGGACAAGGATGATACGATCTGTGGGATCTACCATACAACACTCCCGGGCCACGCTCAGGGCAGTCAACATGTTGTCACCTGGAGAAAACGTCAATATGCACTCCTTGAAAAAAGATATGTGTGGTCGGTTTCAATACAGTTCTGATATTTTCACAAATATTTTGTAGTTTATAGAGTGTCTGGATGACAGGGGTGGTCCAGCTACACCTACCTGTAACCATGATGTTTCTGATGGCGGCCTCCCGGAGTGTCTGGATGACAGGGGTGGTCCAGCTACACCTACCTGTAACCATGATGTGTCTGATGGCGGCCTCCCGGAGTGTCTGGATGACAGGGGTGGTCCAGCTACACCTACCTGTAACCATGATGTTTCTGATGGCGGCCTCCCGGAGTGTCTGGATGACAGGGGTGGTCCAGCTATACCTACCTGTGACCATGATGTTTCTGATGGCGGCCTCCCGTAGTGTCTGGATGACAGGGGTGGTCCAACTATACCTACCTGTGACCATGATGTTTCTGATGGCGGCCTCCCGTAGTGTCTGGATGACAGGGGTGGTCCAGCTACACCTACCTGTAACCATGATGTTTCTGATGGCGGCCTCCCGTGAGTGTCTGGATGACAGGGGTGGTCCAGCTACACCTACCTGTAACCATGATGTTTCTGATGGCGGCCTCCCGGAGTGTCTGGATGACAGGGGTGGTCCAGCTACACCTACCTGTAACCATGATGTTTCTGATGGCGGCCTCCCGGAGTGTCTGGATGACAGGGGTGGTCCAGGTACACCTACCTGTAACCATGATGTTTCTGATGGCGGCATCCCGGAGTGTCTTGATGACAGGGGTGGTCCAGCTACACCTACCTGTAACCATGATGTTTCTGATGGCGGCCTCCCGTAGTGTCTTGATGACAGGGGTGGTCCAGCTACACCTACCTGTAACCATGATGTGTCTGATGGCGGCCTCCCGTAGTGTCTGGATGACAGGGGTGGTCCAGCTACACCTACCTGTAACCATGATGTTTCTGATGGCGGCCTCCCGGAGTGTCTGGATGACAGGGGTGGTCCAGCTACACCTACCTGTAACCATGATGTGTCTGATGGCGGCCTCCCGTAGTGTCTGGATGACAGGGGTGGTCCAGCTACACCTACCTGTGACCATGATGTTTCTGATGGCCTCCCGGGTGTCTGGATGACAGGGGTGGTCCAGCTATACCTACCTGTAACCATGATGTTTCTGATGGCGGCCTCCCGTAGTGTCTGGAAGACAGGGGTGGTCCAGCTACACGTACCTGTAACCATGATGTTTCTGATGGCAGCCTCTCCGGAGTGTCTGGATGACAGGGTGGTCCAGCTACACCTACCTGTAACCATGATGTTTCTGATGGCGGCCTCCCGGAGTGTCTGGATGACAGGGGTGGTCCAGCTACACCTACCTGTGACCATGATGTTTCTGATGGCGGCCTCCCGTAGTGTCTGGATGACAGGGGTGGTCCAGCTACACCTACCTGTGACCATGATGTTTCTGATGGCGGCCTCCCGGAGTGTCTGGATGACAGGGGTGGTCCAGCTATGCCTACCTGTGACCATGATGTTTCTGATGGCGGCCTCCCGGAGTGTCTGGATGACAGGGGTGGTCCAGCTATGCCTACCTGTGACCATGATGTTTCTGATGGCGGCCTCCCGGAGTGTCTGGATGACAGGGGTGGTCCAGCTACACCTACCTGTGACCATGATGTTTCTGATGGCGGCATCCCGTAATGTCTGGATGACAGGGGTGGTCCAGCTATACCTACCTGTGACCATGATGTTTCTGATGGCGGCATCCCGTAGTGTCTGGATGACAGGGGTGGTCTGGCTACACCTACCTGTGACCATGATGTTTCTGATGGCGGCATCCCGTAGTGTCTGGATGACAGGGGTGGTCTGGCTACACCTACCTGTGACCATGATGTTTCTGATGGCGGCCTCCCGGAGTGTCTGGATGACAGGGGTGGTCCAGCTATACCTACCTGTGACCATGATGTTTCTGATGGCGGCATCCCGTAGTGTCTGGATGACAGGGGTGGTCTGGCTACACCTACCTGTGACCATGATGTTTCTGATGGCGGCCTCCCGGAGTGTCTGGATGACAGGGGTGGTCCAGCTACACCTACCTGTAACCATGATGTTTCTGATGGCGGCCTCCCGTAGTGTCTGGATGACAGGGGTGGTCTCCGGCTTCAGGCAGTTCTCCATCACCAGCAGCCCCAGGAAGTTGAGATCCTTCTCCACCTGCTCCCTACAAGAGGAACATTGTTTGCGGTTTAACATGCAGTGATTTAATGCTGGCATTACCATTGTTTTTGAATGCCTTTGATTATCACAGGAATATATAGGTTTCAGGATCTGGTATTGACCTCACATGACAAATCACAAATTGTGGAAGAGCTTGTATGGTAAGCTGTTCCAATATTTGATTACATACCCCAAACCCTCATATTTATTCCATCCAATGAGTGGAGTATAGTTTTACGCCGCTTTTAGCAATATTCCAGCAATATAACGTCTGGGGACACCATAAATGGACTTCACACATTGTACCCACGTGGGGAATCGAACCCGGGTCTTCGGCGTGACGTGAGAACACTTTAGCCATTAGGCTAACACACACACCCGTTAACCATTAGGCTAACACACACACACTAACACACACACACACACCACTCACCACACCCCCCACCCCACGGTGTTTGAGAACCATGGTGAAGGGAGTAAATGAAGGGTAAATGTAAGTCTTCCTTGTCAACAGAAAAGATGGCTTACTTATGGAGAAAGTGCATGATTTGTTGAGGAACTTCATTCGTTGTCGTTTTGATCGTTTTCACTTCACAATTTAGTAAAAAGCCCTTTGCAGTCAGTTTTAAATCAAGGCACATATCGGTGTGAGGCCGTCATTATCCACAGTAATGCAAACCCGGTTTCAGAACCGGCGTTGAATACGCCAAGTGAGTTATTGCGATGGTATCGGAGAGATCGCGAAGTAGATTCACGTACCACATTAGCAGAGATGCCAACGGCAAAGCGTTGCAAATAGCAGTTTCAAGGATCAAAATTAGTAGTTTGACCATAACACACACATCAGTTCAATATCATATTTTAGAATTTACATGGGAGGAGTATCGTAGCAAGGCGAACGTTACTGAAAATAGATACATTACAATGATTTGGTACATTCAACTGAAAGCCATATTTGACGGAAACTCACGCACAACGGCAATTTCTCTTGAGTGCAATGAAAATAACAAAATATATACCAACAGTTTACACGTAAATACATGTTTATGTCGTTTAGATATTAGGCACTATTTTGTTCGCTTACAGTTCTTTAAAGCAAGTTTTCAAGTAAATATAAAAATCGTCGCACAGTACCTTCATCGGTGAACAATAAAGTTAGTGGAAATGTGTTGATTTTGAAAAATATATAAAAAATACTAGTTTTTTTTTCAAACTGGTATACGTTTGCAATTGAATTTACACCATCGTGCATACAATAAGAAGAGTCACGATGTCTGTGTATTTTTCTTGGCGGAGGTAGATCCAGTGCTGCGAGAGCACAATATTAGATCAATCTAATTGCGCATCAACGGTCAAAGGGAGGCAACTCAATCAATACTTTCACGCACACATCTCAGTGTTTTGTAGAGAGCTAATTATTTGCGAAGTGGGCGGGTGTGTGGTTTCACGGGCCGTGCACTGACTATTTCACTTTCATTTGATCCCACGTACATGGTCAATTCTGTTACCTAAATACTTCAACGGTATAATGAACATATTTGTGGAATCGTGACGTTCATGGTCAAAGGGAGGTAACTCTAAACCTTAATAAATTAACCCCATTTTCACTGACTTACCTCCCTTTGAACCAGGGGGACATTACTCTTGATCTTTGGTGTACGTAGTTAGCTCCCTTTGCTTGAGAGCACATGTAGTGTGTGAAGTTTTAAAAGAGGACACTGTGTGGAGTTGAGACAAGGGAGTTAACTCTTGTACAAACACGGTTACCTCCCTTTGACCGTAAACCGCACCAGATTCACCTCCCCAGTGCAATGCCTTTCTTTACATACGAAATCCATTATTAGGAGAAAGAGAATCATGGTGAGCAGGGGGAATATGGCTGCTAAAACATACTGATTTTAGACGTTTTAATTCACGTGACGTTACTAGTTTAGTAGAAATTCTTATGCAATTTTAGCACGATCGGCTAAATTTTAAATAGGCGATACGACCCAGAAGCTGGTGATTTTTTGCAGTTTTTCAACTCAGAAACAGATTCCAGTTTTACAGAAATGAAAATGTGCCATAACTCGTACAACTATTTTCACTCAAGTTCGTTTTCAGCATCAACGTTTTTGTTTGGCTTGAAATAAATTAATCTTGACTTGATATTAGATGGGATATCCTGGTTCTAAATCCCGATGCATCAGTACTGACAATAACTTGGCAGCTTTGTCAACGAATATTGAGAAAATACCCCGAGCGGGTGATTTGTTTAAAACCAATGTGAGTTAAAATATTCGAGTTAAGGCAGGACAGGTAGCAGACAATAACTGTCTGATAATCATTCATTTTCGGATTTTATACGATAAGCACTGGGTATTAGCGTCTTATCCATCTATCACTCGTTCAGATACTTTGTGTCTGAAATAGAAAGACCCTGAATTTTTTTAGCAGGACTGTTTCAATTAATTTGGGCTAAAACTGAAAAGAAACAGATAAATAAAATTAATTTTTATGTGAAATATTTTTAAAAAAACCCATGTGGGGAATAGAACCTGGGTTTTCGGCGTGACGAGCGAACGCCTTAATCACTAGGCTACCCCCCCCGTATCAGCAGAGTAGTAATATGCTGAGCCATCTGGATATATTTGATGCTGTTACCGCGTTATTCTCTGGAGTTTGGCATAGTTCAGTTTCCGTGGCAAGGCCTTCCAGGCCAGAGCGAGGACCCGGTAGCCATGCTGTGTGTAGGCCATCAGTACATCGTGGAAGTTGGCAGGGACTGAAGCAGAATACAGTTGGCCTATTTACGAAGCTGTCCGAGAGATTAAGTAAGCTAGTATTTCCAACCGATCTTAACTAAGTCTCTTCTCGAAACTGATTTGTGCAAAGACAACTTCAGTTTGTGATAGAAACTATGTATTTCACGATGATCGACATTAACTGAATCCAAACTGATCCTATGAATTAAACGTTAAAGAAATGAAATATGTTCCATCATAAACGTTTGTTGAATGTCAGTAAATGCACCCAAATGAAGAATCAAAATGAATAAATCTTGCCGAAAAAAATATTCACACATTTTGAGCATTTGTATTTTAATCGGATTTCTTTTCAACATTTGTAATTTCATTCTAAGATTTGGGTTAGTAAATGTTAGACTCTTGCAGGTGTCTTTTTCAGAATTTTAACGCTTTTGTCTGTACCTGTTTCAGCCATGGAGAGGCTTGTGATCATCTCAGGCGCTCCCTTCACGAACAGGTCAAAGTTGTTGGCACCGAGGTTCCGTGTGATGACCGACATTCTCTGTAGACTGGAGGAGAAGGTAAACTGTCTCACCACGCCGATGTCTTCTCCCATTGGCTGGAATAGTTAAACATGCGGTGATGGGAAGAAATATGGGAACATCATTAATGTACACGTAAGAGACTACAGCTTAATGCCCCATAGCTTTGTTGTTCCTGACTGTTGTCTGGTCGGGTGGAGTGTTGTGATTATCCCCACCAGTATATGACAAGATAATAATACTAAATAATAATGGCCATTTATAAAGCGCCCGTTCCCACACACTTGTGCATGCTCACAGTCACATGCCTTATCCCACCGGGTACCCATTTTCTGCTGGGTGAACAGAGGCAAAAACAAATTCACTTGCCTAAGGTGATTCCACATGAATCAATCACATGTGCTTCGTTGTGGGGAAGGACTGAAGTCCTAAAAACTCTCAGAAGTCAAGCTGCAAACACGGTCACCCATCCAAGGACTCTCCACGCTTAACTTATGAAGCTGATATATGAACAACATTGTCGTAGAATGGAGGAGATGAACTGTCATCCTTTCCCTGGCTGAAACACCTTAAGATTTGTTGTTCTTACCTGACTGTCGTCTTCTGGAACGGAGTTGTTCCTGGTTCGGGGATGAACAATGGTGGGCACCATCATGTCAAACCTTGTCTCCTCCTCACCAGGCTCCTCCAACACCTGAAACATGGAGCGAGTTGGTGAGTGCTCGGATGGGTGAGCTGGTGGAAGAATGGGCGCTCAGACCAATCTGAGAACAATGGGTGCATTGACGGATAAGTGATTGTATGTGTGGATTTGTTTGTGAAGGTGGAAGAATGAGAATGAGTTCGTAGAAAAATTGGTGGGTTGGTCGATGAGTAAGTATGGGTGAGTGAGTTAGTAGAAGAATTGGTGGGTTGGTCGATGAGTAAGTAAATGGGTGAGTTAGTAGAAAAATTGAGGTGGGCTGGTCGATGAGGTAAGCGTGAGTGAATGGGTGAGTTAGTAGAAGAATTGGTGGGCTGGTCGATGGTCGATGAATGGTAAGTAGAAGAACTGGTGAATGGGTGAGTTAGTAGAAGAATTGGTGGGTTGGTCGATGAGTAAGTGGTGAAATGGTGTGAGTTAGAAGAATTGGTGGGTTGGTCGATGAGTAAGTGAGTGAATGGGTGAGTTAGTAGAAGAATTGGTGGGTTGGTCGATGAGTAAGTAAGTGAATGGGTGAGTTAGTAGAAGAATTGGTGGGTTGGTCGATGAGTAAGTAAGTGAATGGGTGAGTTAGTAGAAGAATTGGTGGGCTGGTCGATGAGTAAGTGAGTGAATGGGTGAGTTAGTAGAAGAATTGGTGGGTTGGTCGATGAGTAGAAGTGAGTGAATGGGTGAGTTAGTAGAAGAAGGGTGGTGGGCTGGTCGATGAGTAAGTGAGTGAATGGGTGAGTTAGTAGAAGAATTGGTGGGTTGGTCGATGAGTAAGTGAGTGAATGGGTGAGTTAGTAGAAGAATTGGTGGGCTGGTCGATGAGTAAGTGAGTGAATGGGTGAGTTAGTAGAAGAATTGGTGGGTTGGTCGATGAGTAAGTGAGTGAATGGGTGAGTTAGTAGAAGAATTGGTGGGTTGGTCGATGAGTGAGTGAGTGAATGGGTGAGTTAGTAGAAGGATTGGTGGGTTGGTCGATGAGTAAGTGAGTGAATGGGTGAGTTAGTAGAAGAATTGGTGGGTTGGTCGATGAGTAAGTGAGTGAATGGGTGAGTTAGTAGAAGAATTGGTGGGTTGGTCGATGAGTAAGTAAGTGAGTTAGTAGAAGAATTGAATGGTCGATGAGTTTAAGTAGAATGGGTGAGAATAGGAAGAATGGTGGGTTGGTCGATGAGTAAGTGAGTGAATGGGTGAGTTAGTAGAAGAATTGGTGGGTTGGTCGATGAGTAAGTGAGTGAATGGGTGAGTTAGTAGAAGAATTGGTGGGTTGGTCGATGAGTAAGTGAGTGAATGGGTGAGTTAGTAGAAGAATTGGTGGGTTGGTCGATGAGTAAGTAAGTGAATGGGTGAGTTAGTAGAAGAATTGGTGGGTTGGTCGATGAGTAAGTGAGTGAATGGGTGAGTTAGTAGAAGAATTGGTGGGTTGGTCGATGAGTAAGTGAGTGAATGGGTGAGTTAGTAGAAGAATTGGTGGGTTGGTCGATGAGTAAGTGAGTGAATGGGTGAGTTAGTAGAAGAATTGGTGGGTTGGTCGATGAGTAAGTGAGTGAATGGGTGAGTTAGTAGAAGAATTGGTGGGTTGGTCGATGAGTAAGTGAGTGAATGGGTGAGTTAGTAGAAGAATTGGTGGGTTGGTCGATGAGTAAGTGAGTGAATGGGTGAGTTAGTAGAAGAATTGGTGGGTTGGTCGATGAGTAAGTGAGTGAATGGGTGAGTTAGTAGAAGAATTGGTCGATGAGTAGAAGTGGTGGGTGAGTTAGTAGAAGAATTGGTGGGTTGAGTAAGTGAGTGAATGGGTGAGTTAGTAGAAGAATTGGTGGGTTGGTCGATGAGTAAGTGAGTGAATGGGTGAGTTAGTAGAAGAATTGGTGGGTTGGTCGATGAGTAAGTGAGTGAATGGGTGAGTTAGTAGAAGAATTGGTGGGTTGGTCGATGAGTAAGTGAGTGAATGGGTGAGTTAGTAGAAGAATTGGTGGGTGGTCGATGAGTAAGTGAGTGAATGGGTGAGTTAGTAGAAAGAATTGGTGGGTTGGTCGATGAGTAAGTGAGTGAATGGGTGAGTTAGTAGAAAGAATTGGTGGGTTGGTCGATGAGTAGAAGTGAATGAATGAGTTGAGTAGAAGAATTGGTGGGTTGGTCGATGAGTAAGTGAGTGAATGGGTGAGTTGAGTACGAAAGGTGGTGGGTTGGTCGATAGTAGAATGGGTGAGTTAATAGAATTAATGGGTTGGTCGATAGGTCGAAATGAGTAAGTGAGTGAAAGGTGGTGGGATCGATGTTAGTAGAAGGAATTGGTGGGTTGGTGATGAGTAAGTGAGTGAATGAGTAAGTTAGTAGAATGGGTGAGTTAGTAGAAGAATTGGTGGGTTGGTCGATGAGTAGGTTGGTCGAAGTGAGGTAAATGGGTGAGTTAGTAGAAAGAGGTGGTGGGTTGGTCGATGAGTAAGTGAGTGAATGGGTGAGTTAGTGAAGAATTGGTGGGTTGGTCAAGAAATGAGTAGGTCGAAGTGAAGTAGAATGTTGAGTTAGTAGAAGAGGTGGTGGGTTGGTCGATGAGTAAGTGAGTGAATGGGTGAGTTAGTAGAAGAATTGGTGGGTTGGTCGATGATGAGTGAAATAGTGAAATAAATGGGTGAGTTAGTAGAAGAATTGGTGGGTTGGTCGATGAGTAAGTGAGTGAATGGGTGAGTTGAGTAGAAGAATTGAGGTGGGTTGGTCGATGGTAAGTGGTGAATGGGTGAGTTAGTAGAAAAGAATTGGTGGGTTGGTCGATGAGTAAGTGAGTTAGTGAATGGTGGGTGATGTAAGTAGTGAATGAAGTAGAAAGAATTGGTGGGTTGGTCGATGAGTAAGTAAGTGAATGGGTGAGGGATTAGTAGAAGAATTGTGGTGGGTTGGTCGATGAGTAAGTGAGTGAATGGGTGAGTTAGTAGAAAGGAATTGGTGGGTTGGTCGATGAGTAGTAAGTAAATGGGTGAGTTAGTATGGGTGGTGGGTTGGTCGATGAGTAAAGTGAGTGAATGGGTGTGAGTTAGTAGAAGAATTGGTGGGTTGGTCGATGAGTAAGTAAAATGGGTGAGTTAGTAGAAAAGGAATTGGTGGTGGGTGGTGAGTAAGTGAGTAAGTGAGTTAGTGATGGGTTGGTCGTGAGTAAGAAGAATTGTGGTGGGTGAGATGGTAAGAAATGAAATTGGTGAATGGGTAGTAGAAGAATTGGTGGGTTGGTCGATGGAGTAAGTTAGTGAATGGGTGAGTTAGTAGAAGAATTGGTGGGTTGGTCGTGAGTAAGTAATTGGTGAATGGGTGAGTTAGTAGAAGAATTGGTGGGTTGGTCGATGAGTAGAGTGAGTAAATACGTTGTGATTATGGGTGAGTTGAGTAGAAATGGGTGAGTTGGTGAATTGGTCGATGAGTATGAGTAAGTGAGTGAATGGGTGAGGATTAGTAGAAGAATTGGTGGGTTGGTCGATGAGTAAGTAGAAGTGAATGGGTGAGTTAGTAGAAGAATTGGTGGGTTGGTCGATGAGTAAGTGAGTGAATGGGTGAGTTAGTAGAAAGAATTGGTGGGTTGGTCGATGAGTAAGAAGAGTGAATGGGTGAGTTAGTAGAAAGGTTGGTGGGTTGGTCGATGAGTAGAAGTGAAGTGAATGGGTGAGTTAGTAGAAGAATTGGTGGGTTGGTCGATGAGTAAGTAAGTAAATGGGTGAGTTAGTAGAAGAATTGGTGGGTTGGTCGATGAGTAGAGTGAGTGAATGAGTGAATGGGTGAGTTAGTAGAAGAATTGGTGGGTTGGTCGATGAGTAAGTAAGTAGTAAATGAGTTAGTAGAAAGGAATGGTGGGCTGGTCGATAGTAGAAGAAATGGTGGGTTGGTCGATGAGTAAGTATGAAGTGAATGGGTGAGTTAGTAGAAGAATTGGTGGGTTGGTCGATGAGTAAGTGAGTGAATGGGTGAGTTAGTAGAAGAATTGGTGGGTTGGTCGATGAGTAAGTGAGTGAATGGGTGAGTTAGTAGAAGAATTGGTGGGCTGGTCGATGAGTAAGTAGAAGTGGGTTGGTCGATGTAAGTGTGAATGGGTGAGTGGGTGGGTTGGTCGATGAGAAGTTAAATGGGTGAGATAGTAGAAGAATTGGTGGGTTGGTCGATGAGTAAGTGAGTGAATGGGTGAGTTAGTAGAAGAATTGGTGGGCTGGTCGATGAGTAAGTGAGTGAATGGGTGAGTTAGTAGAAGAATTGGTGGGCTGGTCGATGAGTGAGTGAGTGGTCGGATGGGTGAGCTTGATGAATGTGTTGGTGGGTCAGTGAATAAGTGAGTTGGTGAATGGTTTAGTTCGTAGATGGTTGAATGTCTGGATGAGTGAGTGGGTGCCAGAGTAAGCAGTGAACAGATGTATGTATGTATTTATGTGTGTATGGATTGGATGGATGGATGGATGGGTTGGCGGGCGGATGGATAGATGGATGGGTGGGTGGATGTATGAATGTATGGGTGGAGGATTGGATGTATGGGTTGGGCGGATGTATGGATGGATGGGTGGGTGGATGTATGAATGTATGGGTGGAGGGTTGGATGTATGGGTTGGGCGGATGTATGGATGGATGGGTGGGAGGATGTATGAATGTATGGGTGGAGGGTTGGATGTATGGGTTGGGCGGATGTATGGATGGATGGGTGGGTGGGTGGATGTATGAATGTATGGGTGGAGGGTTGGATGTATGGGTTGGGCAGATGTATGGGATGGATGGGTGGGTGGATGTATGAATGTATGGGTGGAGGGGTGGATGTATGGGTTGGGCGGATGTATGGATGGATGGGTGGGTGTATGTATGGATGGATGGGTTGGCGGATGGATGGATGGATGGATGGGTGGGTGGGTGTATGGATGGATGGGTGGGTTGGCGGGCGGATGGATGGATGGATGGATGGGGGTGGGCGGATGTATGGATGGATGGGTGGGTGTATGGATGGATGGATGGGTTGGCGGGCGGATGGATGGATGGATGGATGGGTGGGTGGGTGTATGAACGTATGGGTGGAGGATTGGATGTATGGGTTGGGCGGATGGATGGATGGATGGGTTGGGCGGATGGATGGGTGGATGGGTGGGTGTATGGATGGATGGATGGGTGGGTGGGTGTATGGATGGATGGATGTGCCTGCATGGATGGGTGGTTCACTGATGATATTAAAACCGGCGTTAAGTCTAAATCACTCTCATTCACCAAATGGGTGTCGGCGTGGATTTAAGGCATGTCTTAGAAATCGGTGATACAATGACCTCACCGGATTGCCACTACAGCCCAAGGGGAGGTGTGAGTTAGTGAGTGGATATTGCTTAACGCAGCATCAGCATTGTTGCTATAATACGACACTTATCATTCGACACAACAGGCGGAGTAACCGTGGGTCAGCAATATTTTGAAGCGTTCGTAAAAATAAAGAAACCAGTCGACACTTGGGGAGTAACTCACCCAATCAACAGCCTCGAACATGATGAGATCCAGGGGGTCTCCAGCCACGTGACCATCTATAATAGTGAGAGAGTGGCAGGTTGCCATGGCACTGACGATCTGCGGATTGTGTAACTTGCTCATGTTGCGAATTTCGTCTCTGAACCTGAGGAAATAGAGCACCTCTTGCTGTGAGTTTCTTTGTTGAACACATGTCGAAATGCACATACCGAACTTCGTTATAATCGTAGTTTCCTCTGTGTGAGACACGACACTTTAGGGACAAGTTCTAATTTTAATTTAAAGGTGATGTCAATTTCATCACTTGATACTGATACTTAGTCTCTGAATATATATAATTTTGATAGTAACAAACAAGCCCATTTAAATTGAAAAGGAGCCCCAGAGAGACCCGAGATTCAGATCTAGACTTACTTTATTTAGGGCTTTAGCACTGCAGAGAGAGCTTGGCAGTGGGGAAAATAATGTGGTTCAGGGACTGTGACACAGACTAGTGAAAGTCGTATAATACCATATTATACACCGCTAACCTTATATCCATGATCTATAAATAACTGAGTCATGGCCAAGGAAACTTTGTCAATATCATTGGGAACAGTCCACATTGGTTTCGTACAAGGAACACCCAGAAAGGTCAAACATATCCAACCATCCGAATCCAATCAACGCGCTGTGTTGGGACAGGACCAGTCAGACAATGTAGCCACCCAATCCACATTTTAGTGGTCTGTTGTGACCTGCATTGGATTCTGGAGACTACGGCAGAGCTCCCATGTGTTTAGTTTGTTAGTTTATGGTTGCCAAGCAACTGCTTACGCTCCACTGGAGGAAGGCACCACGGCCATCATCTTCATACCATCCTCCGTCAAGGTTCCTGTCTGAAAACGAACATTGCGTCAATATTGGCAAGTCGCAGTGTAGCCTAATGGGCAAAGGGTTCTCTCCACACGCCGAGATACCGGGTTCGATACCCTTCATGAGAGCAACCAATTTCTATTGCTAAACATAGCTTACAATCACACTCACCCACAGGGTTTATGGGGATTGAACGACGTGTTCTTTAGTGTGCGTGCAGAGACCCCTACTCAAAGACAGAATAGCGGCACGGTCTCAAAGATATTTTCGTCTGAGAAGATGATAATTTCATCTACTAAGAAGATTTTTCTTACATCTACATAGATGATAGTGTTATATAATGATAGCGTCTGTTAATTCCTATTCATTCCAATTCTAATAAATAAAGTTGACATGTCTAATTTCATCAAATTAATCAAGTTTGAAAAAAAAAATATGTTAAAACGAAGGTAAGATAACATGTCCACTGGTCAATGAACGATAGGCGATGGGGTAGCCTTGTAGTTAAAGCGTTCGCTCATCACACCTAAGACCTGGGTTCGAATCCCCACAAGGGAACAATGAAAAAAAAAAGAATTTCTAATGTCTTGTAATGGAATATTGCATGGATATTGCTAAAAGCGTCGATCCTACTCACCCACTCACTTACTCACCCACCCACTCACTCACTCACTCACTTAATGAACACTGACCTTGTCGAAGCAGACAACGTTGATGGTGCCGCAGATGTTGATGCCGCGAGGGCTGATGCAGAAGATGCCTGCCTTCTTCAGCCGCTGCTGGGCAAATACGATGCCAACACCGAGGGCAGCCGGGAGGGCTGGGGGGTACCGCTATTGTAAGTAGATCCAGCGTCCGGATGATGATATCTCCCACGGTGTCGTTGTTCCTCACCTACGACAACAAACACATCTTTACAGGACCGTTTTGTGGATTGGGTGGACAAATTGTCTTAGATGCCGCTATTTTATGTTCATTGGTAACATATATAAAATGATCAGTTCGGATTTCAGGAATCGTTTAAAAAACTAAAAAACTCATGTTCTCCGGACATGAGAAATGGTTTGTTTCTTTGTGGCTAAACTTCAACTTCTTTGTTGCCCTTCAACCAGCCAGCGGTGGTACAAGAGTACAATAGCATCGGGTACATAAACAAAGACCCGTGAAGGTCCGGGTTAGAATGAACCTTCAGTAACCCATGCTTGTCGTAAGAGGCGACTAACGGGATCGGGTGGTCAGATTCGCTGGCTTGGTTGACACATGTCATCGGTTCCCAATTGCGCAGGTCGATGCTCATGCTGTTGATCACTGGATTGTCTGGTCCAGACTCGAGTATTTACAGACCGCCGCCATATAGCTGGAATATTGCTGAGTGCGGCGTAAAATTAAACTCACTCACTCACATAGACAAAGACAAGATGGGGCACAGTTAACATTTAAAGTATCTTAGTATACTATATATATGAATAAACATCGATAGCCTTCTTTTCACGCCGCCCTCAGCATATTCCAGCTATATGGTGGCGGTCTGTAAATAATCAAGTCTGGACCAGACAACCCAGTGATCAACAGCAGGAGCATCGATCTATTGGGAGACAATGACATGTGTCAACCAAGTCAGCAAGCCTGATAACTCGGTCCCATTAGTCGCTTCTTACGACAAGCATGGGTCTTCGTGGTTAAGTTTATATGTTTTTAACAAAAGAGATGTTACATTTTATACGGAATGAACTTCTTCGTTTCAAAAAGAAACTCCTACACTCACCATCAATACTACTGTGTAGATGAAACCCAGTGATGCGATGAAACCAAGGATACCGATGAACCAATAGGTGTCCCTGTTGAACTTGAAGTCGACCGGCTTCGGGAACATGATGGAACGAACCAACTCACCCTTAGCCGTAAGGAAACCTTGAAAATAGGCACAGAAGCAATGCATCACAGTGAAATAGGTTGCGAGTTACTCAGTTGAAGAGGTTCCAGTCTATACCTTCAAACAAACACGCAACGTTTTAGCAAAAGTTGGACTAAGGATGTTTGAGAGGAACGGAAATAGAGTAGGAAATATATCCAATGACCGGATTTGCGTAAAAGGCCGAGGCGATCTTACTTTCAACGATCATTTACAATACATTGAAGATACATCTTTGAAACTTCGTTTCCTGCGCTACCTACCAGTGTCAAGTTAGATCTGAAATTTTGTATTCATCTTACCACTTCCATGCCGTGATATTGCTGGAATATTGCTTAAAAACGGCGTAAAACAAAACTCACTCAATCACGCTTACCACTTCTGAGGACAATGGCGTTGACTCTACGGCTGCCGTAGTAGCGAGTTTGGATGACGTGAGTGCCACAGAAGAGGATGTGACGGGAGTGCTTCTTGATGTCAAACATTGCCTCCGGGCTGGAGGCGTGCAGGGGGTTGGGGAGCGGCGTCTTGGTCACAGGCACACTCTCGCCTAGACAGATATTACAGAAACACGGGGATTGTATATCAAAAGTTATTTAGGAGGACAACATCGTTTCCTTTGTGATCATGAAACTCATTTCCTTATTGACGAATAAGCGCTTCTTTCAGACCTAACACATACGTTCGAAATATTCGTACTAGTAGTCGTACAAAATAAGATGCATGTCTTTTACCAGTTGTTGATTATTTCTTGTTCAAACCCCATTATAAATATACCGTAAAAGCAAACCCATTGTTTTCCCTAAAATGTCTCCCCTAAATTAAAACACCGTGACACCTACCCTGTAACCTGAATCAATAACCGGTTGCAATGTGTAACATTGTACCCATGTCCCCACATTGTAGCCTGTAATAATGCGTCCTTACATTGGAACATGGACAACCGTTTCTCCTGCTATGTAACATGTAACCCTCTTACACTAGAGGGGTGGTGGGGTAGCTTTGTGGTTAAAGCGTTCGTTCGTCACGCCCAGGGCGGTGGGGTAGCCTAGTGGTTAAAGCGTTCGCTCGTCACGCCCAGGGCGGTGGGGTAGCCTAGTGGTTAAAGCGTTCGCTCGTCACGCCCAGGGCGGTGGGGTAGCCTAGTGGTTAAAGCGTCCGCTCGTCACGCCCAGGGCGGTAGGGTAGCCTAGTGGTTAAAGCGTCCGCTCGTCACGCCCAGGGCGGTGGGGTAGCCTAGTGGTTAAAGCGTTCGCTCGTCACGCCCAGGGCGGTGGGGTAGCCTAGTGGTTACAAGCGTGCTGTCACGCCCAGGGCGGTGGGGTAACCATTGGTTAAAGCGTCCCCTCGTCACGCCCATGTTGGTGGGGTAGCCTAGTGCTAAAAGCGGCGTAAAACGTCACGGCCAGTCGGTCAGCCTAGTGGTTAAAGCGTCCGCTCGTCACACCGAAGACCCGGGTTCGAATCCCCACATGGGTACAATGTTTGAAGCCCATTTCAGGTGTCCCCGCCTATGATATTGCTGGAATATTGCTAAAAGCGGCGTAAAACTAAACTCAGTCAGTCAGTCAGTCAGTCAGTCGTCACGCCGAATGCCCAGGTTCGATTCCCCACATGGGTACAATGTTTGAAGCCCATTTCTGGTGTCCCCCACTATGATATTGCTGGAATATTGCTAAAAGTGGCGTAAAACCCAACTCACTCACTCATTGCTACACTAGACCTACCCTGTAACTTGTTATACTGTGTTTCCTACCCTGTAACCTCGCTTCTCCTACCCGGGCACCTGTAACACTGTAGCCTGTAACAGTACTGTATCCGATATAACTACACAGTAGTTTCTGTACACTACCTGTCAGCATACTCTCGTTGACGATGCAGTTGCCGTTGATGAGGACGGCGTCACACTGCATCATGCAGCCGTGTCGAGGCACCTCTATGACGTCACCAGGCACAAGGTCTTCTGACGATATGTCTTCGTACACTGAAACACGAATATGACAGTTTGATAAATAATATTTAACCCATTATTCTAGATTTACGCTACCTTAAAGATAATTAGATAAATGTACACATATACAGGCTGGATCCGGGTAAAAACTAGTCTTCAGCAACCCATTCTTGTTAGAGGGTACTAACGGGATCGGGTGGTCGGGCTCGCTGACACGGTCGATGATTGTCATCGTATCTCAGTTGCGCAGACTGATGCTCATGCTGTTGATCACCGGATTGCCTGGTCCAGACTCGATTATTTACAGACCGCCACCATATAACTGGAATATTGCTGAGAGTGGCGTTAAACGACAAACAAACCGGCTTGGTACCCAGGAGAGGAGGAGATATCAAAATGAATTAAAGCGTGCATTACAATAGAATAAGCCTGCACCCTGAGGGGAGTTTCTATCCTAAGGAGTGGGTGGTTTCATCCTGAAATATTGCTGATTGCGGCATTAGGAAACGAACTAACTGACGATCTCAGGGCATTTAATGAGCAAAATCAACTCACGGAGGGAGTGCTTTATCGTGATTTATTCTATAAATAATTTGAGAGAACGCTAAAATGTAAAACCCCACATTGAAAGTGAGTGAGTGAGTTTAGTTTTACTCCGCACCACAATGAAAGATTGTACACACATAGAAAAAAGGACGGTGGGTAGTAATTACAATGTTTGCTTGTGACGAAGAAGGTCGGGGTTCAGTATGCCAATACGCATCCTTGTAAATGTAGGGGAGATAACTTGTGCCCAATCCTTTCATGTGAATATAATGTTTCGAACTAAACCAGAGCAATACCAACGCTAAAATATAGTCATGCGTGATAATGTATGTATTAAATTATAAAATGTGTAAGAAATCGTTATTATATACATATGGATATGAAGTTAGTCGTATTTGAGGCGTCTTTTGTTATATTACATTTTTCATCACAGCCTGTTGATATAAGTGTAAAATTGTAATCTGATCCTTTGGCATTGACACATTGATATCGAATAAAAGGAACCGATATGAGAGTTGTTTGAACTTATAACAAGCTGAGCTGACCAATGGTTGACGCTGATGGTACTTACCGTCCCCGCCACGACACACGGTGACGATGGTTGAGGAGCTGATGGTGCTGCGGAGAGCTCTCTGCATCTGCAACAACATTGAGTGAGTGAGGATAGTGAGGGTGAGTGAGTTTTAGTTTTAAGCCACTTTTAGCAACATTCCAGCAATATCACGGTGGGGGCACCAGAAATGGGCTTCACACATTGTACCCATGTGGGGAATCGAACCCGGGCCTTCGGCGTGACGAGCGAACGCTTTAACACTGGACTACCCCACCATCCGATGAGGGTAGACTTTTAGCCACTGTTATCACTTCATCATCCTCCAATTCAACCCAGCCCCCACTTTTGAACAGTGTTCCCCATTCACTTTACAAATTAACATCTTTGTTGAAGGGACCCATGTAATTGTTTCGAGTCATCCGATGTTCGATGATGACTAGTTACGGTATTCGCACTGACCAAGCTTTTACCTTTATTCAGAACGTGGTGCTTCAAACTGATGCCTATTGCGTTCTGGCTAAAAGTTTTGTCTTTGTCAGCAAACATATGTTGGTGATTTAACGGGCGCTTCACGCTCACCGCTAGTCTGTCGTACAGACTTTGAAGTTATATCCAAGAAAGGCGCAAGATGAAAATGTGGCAAGTCTAGAATTCCTCAGCTTCAGATCTCAGGACGACATATTTTATGTTTGATGAATATTTTTCAGAAGATATGTTGGAGACTAGATGTTACTTCACCGCTTACGTCTGGTGTTTGGGCATGATGATGAAATGATTTCTTGATGGTGATGACACAGATGATGATGAAGATGGTGGATTTATTGAAAAGATGATGAAGACGAATACGTATTGAAAAGAAGAAGCAATAACGATAAAGATAATGATGGTCCTTACTTTACTCGTCTTGTATTTTTGCTTGTTGTTAAACGACGCACTCAGCAATATTCCAGCTTTATGACGGCGGTCTGTAAATAATAGAGCCTGGACCAGACAATCCAGTGATTAACAGCATGAGCATCAACCTTCCATCGCCTTTTGTGAGTGAGTGAGTTTAGTTTTACGCCGCACTCAGCAATATTCCAGCTATATGACGGCGGTCTGTAAATAATCGAGTCTGGACGACAATCCAATGTGATCAACAGCGTTCTAACCATCGACCTTCACGGGTCTTTGTTTATGACATGTGTCCGACCAAGTCTACCATCCCCTTAGTCGCCTACCTTTTAGTCAAAACATGGGTTGCTGAAGAACACTTCTAACCCCGATCTTCACGGGTCTCTTCGTTTTGGAAATGAGGATGAGGATGATGATGATGATGATGACGCAATAGCGATAAAGAAGGTCCTTACTTTCCGCGTCCTGGAAATGATCGTAATGATGATGATGATGATTGTGATGATGAAGGAGAGCTTACCTTCCTCGTCTGGTAGATGGTAATGATGATGGAGAGGCTGGAGATAAAGACGATGCAGCTGGCGTAGATGGTGTAGTCGTCAGCATACCAGATAGAGACGCTGAAGACTTGAAACACATAGAAGGGGGACAGCACCTGTGGCGACATAGGGATGTCGAGTGAGTATGTGAGTAGGATTTTACGCCGCATTTAACAGTATTCCAACAACATCACGGCAAGGGTCACAAGAAATGGGCTTCACACATTGCACCCATGTGGGGAATGGGGAATCGAACCCGGGTCGTCGGCGTGACAAGCGAACCATTTAACCGCTGGGCTACCCCACCGCCCCGCAATGGATTTGATAACGCCGCAGCTGCTCCTACTCGTCTTCTGATAATATTAATGACAAATGTTAATGAAGATGATGAAATGATGACGTTGATGCTGCACTTAGTGTCGCTGTTTCTCCTGAAATAATAACCATGATGTTGCAACTCCTTCTGACAGTAACGACGAGGATGAAGGTGATGACCGTGTGGAGATGATGGTGGTGGTAATGAGCGAGTCAGCTTAGTTTTAAGCCGCTTTTAGCAATATTCCAGCAATATCACGGCGGGGGACACCACAAATGGGCTTCACACATTGTACCCATGTGGGGAATCGAACCGGGGTCTTCGGACTGACGCTTTAACCACTAGGTATACCGCACCGCCCCAGCTGGTAATGAAAGATGCCGGACAGGGAGCCATGTCCTTGCGTTGACGTTGACTTGCCTCTTTGAACAATATCTTGATAATCGGCATCACGTGGACTCGAATGGAGTTGACACCATACAGAACTTGTCTGAAAAATTAACACACATCCGTTTAACATAAAGATGAGAGTAATTATCTTAACATCAATATACCGCGCTTGACAGGGTTGGTTGGTTGGTGGTTGTTTAACGCTAATATTCCAGCTATATCTGTAATTGAGTCTGGACCAGACAATCCAGTGATCAAAAGCATGGGCATCGGTTTATTTTTTAGTTTAACGCCGCACTTAGCAATATTCCAGCCATATGCTGCGATCTGTACATAATCGAGTCTGGACCAGACAATCCAGTGATTTTCTGTATTACCAATTGGGAACCGATGACATGTATCAACCAAGTCAGCGAGCCTGACCACACAGTCACGATAGTCGCCTCTGGCAACAAGCATGGGTGGCTGAAGATCAATTTTAACCCGGATCTTCACGGGCCACTTGGTAAAGAGTATTCGTAGGAATGGCCTTCACCATGGATACAGCATCTGCCCGGAGAGCGGAAGGTCGGTTGTTTCCCTGCCTGTCAACCGACGATCAGGGGATAAAACAAGAACTGACTAGCTCGAAGTCATTATGCTGTGTGGTATAAGCTGAGCAAATCTGGGATTCGAATCGGGCTTTCAAAGTTTGGACGCAACTCATAGTACCTTAGACCACTGGGCCATCCATCAGGAATATACTACAAAGAGTGGCAATTTGTTTTAAACATAGTCCAACGGATTGATAGAAAATATTGAAATTTAGCTCATGTCCAATATACATTAAAATATTTTATGAAATAACAGCAACTACGGTTATGACGAACTCAAAGGGAACATTTGTTTTAGTTCGGTCTAACCGTAGTTCGTTATACGTAGTTCGGCTAAAATAGGCATCAGGTAGTCGGAGAAAAACAACCACGAGGCTTCCTTGCCGCCCTTTCATATATACTCATGGGTTGTCACATCCCCACCCCATACCCCTCTCCAATTAAAAAATTGAAGGGGTGACTATTGATGAGTATATATTGAAACTATTGATAGAATATATGTTGTGTTTCTTATGTAGTTGAGTATGAACAATTACGGATATTTGGAAGCGTCCCATTCACATATAGTTAAGAAACAGGCAGATCGGCAACTAAGCGATAACTCCAAGTATTAGTTTTATACTGTTTCTCGCTTCAGTGAATACAAATACACAGTCACAAATACAGCCATGAAATATGTTGCGTTTCTTAAGTGCTTCAGTATGAACATTTGAGTGCAAATGGATACAAGATACATTAGGGACGCCAAATAATAATCGCTTGGTCACAGTTTCTAAACAAATGTTGCGTTACTTAAGTGCTTCAGAATGACCAACGCCGTTCTGATACATAGAACTGGCAGCCATCTTCCTTATTTCCAGAATAAATGTTGCCTTTCTTTTCTGCGTCAGTATGTACACATGGCAATTACTGAGAGCATGTTCGGGTCGAGTGTGTTCTGAGACAAATACGTGCTTTGAGAATATGGTTATGTGTAAACAGCCCCGGGACGGACACTCTTCGATTGGATCAACGCCGATAATATCGAGTTTAATATCTATGACATTGAGATCCGCTCTGATGATATGAAACTATATGGCACTTTCATGTGTGAAATTAGCATACCTCGTTCTTTGTTCATCATACGCCAGGCCTGTTTGTTGGTGGAAGAAGGTACACTCCTTGTCCTTGTCAAACCCTCTGCAACAAGATGGGCATGTCATGATTATGAAGGCAGTGCGTGTTTGTTTGGAAATTACCGCTACATTGGACAATATTCCAGCTATATTGCCCTGGTCCGTATCTTGGACTTGTTTGTTTGTTGTTTCACGCCGTACTCAGCTATATGTAAATAATTGAGTCTGGACCATACAATCCAGTGAGTGAGTAAGTTTTATTCGCCGATTCTAACCCAGCTCTTCACGGTCGTGTATAAGTCTGAGACAAAGATAGCTCCGTCAGGGTGAGATACTGTGGCAGTAATCATTCCGAGGTAACAACAGAATTGATGTTTACAGACAAAAGACGATTCTGATGCGGCAAAGCAGAATCTGTTTGAATATTGAATAACTTCAAACTTTAAAAAGAGCTTTAACTATTAAAGTCAATATGAAAGACATCTGACCTCAGTCGTGTAAATTCTTTCTTTTCTGTGTCCCAAATATACTTGATTTTCTTGCAGATAAAGTACCGTATTAGACCACTTCCCTTCTGAAAGGGAATCAGAAACGTAAACGCCCCAAATTACCTGGAATGTAAATTATAAAGCTATATATATATCATAGTTGTATCATACATACATCCGTGACATCATTAATATATCCGTGACATCATACATGTAGCCGTGACATCATAAATTATAACTGTGCCATCATAAAAAAGTATCGACAAGGATATATCGGTAACATCATAAATATGTCCGTAATATCACAAATGTATCCTTAAAATAACCATACCATAAATATATCAGTTACCTAATCAGTACAGAGCATAGGTCTTGAAAAGACTCAGGCGTTCTTTTACTTTTTTTATCAGTATATATTGGCTAAGAGTCCGAGAACAAAGTTCGTTTCTTATCACCAATCGTCTGTGTCATTCCGGTGCTATAACCCGCACTACACTGGTCCTTCTAACACCTTTGTTAAATCACCTGTAACATAATAACATCTCACCTTGGTTGATACGTTGGAGGCTTGTGCCCGCTGCGGCGTCTGGGTGTTATTGGAGTGGCCCGTCAGGTCTCTGGCAGATAGTGCACATGTCTTCATACACACATTATATTGAGGGGCAGTTAGGTAGCATAGTGGTTAAAGTGTATATTTATCCCGCCGAAGACCCGAGTTCGAATACCCAAATTGGTACAATGTGTGAAGCCTATTTCTGGTGTCCCCCGCCGTGCTATTGCTGTAATATTGCAAAAAGCGGTGTAAAAAGTAAAACTCACTCACTCATTTTGTTGGTTTCGATAAAATACGTGATTTGAAATTATATGGCCAAATATTTGTGACTTTGAGAACCAACATTCAAAGAACCTTGGCAACTAAAATCTTTAAACAAACATTGTTTTTACATAACCATTATTTATGAAAGTTTATCAAGAACTGATAACGTGTATGTATGTGAAATATACACGTGCATCTTGCTCCTTAGCGACATACGTTGTGAAAAACACGTTTTCTATCTGAGCTTTCGGAATATGTATGAATATGCAAGCAGTTACACTCACTGTGTTTTCACAGTGGATTTAAACCAGTCCTTCCACTGGTCCTGAAACAAAATTAAAAAAATTACAAGATATCAAATACAGAAAGTTGCCTTTACCACGCATACACATACCAAGTCACGATATACTTTATACACATACCAAGTAACGATATACTTTATAATCAACTGATTTCGCCTTCAGTAACATGGACAGTAAGCACCTTGTGTGGATGGCCTTATCTTCTATAACACTGTCGTAGCAACTACCGGTGAGCACCTGGAGTGGGTGGCCTTACCCTCAATAACACTGTCGTAGCAACCGCCAGTGAGCACCTGGAGTGGGTGGCCTTACCTGCAATAACACTGTTATAGCAACTATCCGTGAGTGGTCTGACCGTCAGTAACACTGTCGTAGCAACCGCCAGTGAGCACCTGGAGTGGGTGGCCGTACCTGCAATAACACTGTTATAGCAACTATCCGTGAGTGGTCTGACCTTCAGTAACACTGTCGTAGCAACCGCCAGTGAGCACCTGGAGTGGGTAGCCTTACCCTTAATAACACTGTCGTAGCAACCGCCAGGGTGGACTTACCCTCAATAACACTGTCGTAGCAACCACCAGTGAGCACCTGGAGTGGGTGGACTTACCCTCAATAACACTGTCGTAGCAACCGCCAGTGAGCACCTGGAGTGGGTGGACTTACCCTCAATAACACTGTCGTAGCAACCGCCAGTGAGCACCTGGAGTGGGTGGACTTACCCTCAATAACACTGTTGTAGCAACCGCCAGTGAGCACCTGGAGTGGGTGGACTTACCTTCAATAACACTGTCGTAGTAACCGCCAGTGAGCACCTGGAGTGGGTGGACTTACCCTCAATATCACTGTCGTAGTAACCGCCAGTGAGCACCTGTAGTGGGTGGACTTACCCTCAATAACACTGTTGTAGCAACCACCAGTGAGCACCTGGAGTGGGTGGACTTACCCTCAATAACACTGTTGTAGCAACCACCAGTGAGCACCTGGAGTGGGTGGACTTACCCTCAATAACACTGTCGTAGTAACCGCCAGTGAGCACCTGGCGTGGGTGGACGTACCTTCAATAACACTGTCGTAGCATCCACCAGTGAGCACCTGGAGTGGGTGGCCTTTACAAACAGGTGTGGCAGCCAATAGAAGAAGAGTCGCAGCAGGCCGACCGTGATGATGATGAAGAACCACACGACAGCTGTCTTCAGTTTATGGGGCCTAAACCCGGAGATTTCCTGAAATAAAGTGGATGATAGAGTTTGGTTCAACACCGATACCTTCGATATCCTAGGATATCACGAAGGCACTCAAAATTCACCCATTGTGTTCCTCTTTTAATCTTCGGCGAAATACCTTTGACGTGCGCTTCTACGTCTCCCGAGCATGTGCCTGTTCATTGTATTCTGATAATATTTGACTGCCAAAGATAGTCAGTTCCTATACGCCTTGAAAGCCAAAAGACCAGCATGACACTTAACTATTGTCGCCAGTGTATTGTCTCTGTAGCGGTGCCTAGGGGCTCATCAAAAAGGTGCTCTGGCCGGCATTTTGATCTTGACCAGTGGCCCATGAATCTGTCATGTCGATTACGCTGAGACGCCTCCAGAGAAGTCTCGGCATAATCAAGATGAATCTGGACTTAGCTGAAGACATGACGGCGATCCCTTAAAGGTTACTCTTAAAACACCATTGAAATGCCTAGAATGTTTCAGTTTGTTAACGGAGCCAGCTGAGCTGCATGAACACGCTTTCAAATCGTCTGGTCAGAAACTTCAATTCCGGTGGTCTGGTGATAGTGAACGGCCAGTTGACTTATTTTTAAAAAAAATCCTCTTTTAAAAGTTCGGTCCTGCACTTTAGTTGTTGACTTTGAGCGTACGGTGCGGGGCCAGTGAATTTTCTGCAGAAACCAATTCTAAATTCTGCAAATCATAGACTGCGACACATTGAACACATGGCTTCCTTTCCCTGTTTAAAAGACAGGTATGTTACGAGCATGTCATCGACCGCCCCTCCCCCCCCCCCCCTAACCACGAGTAAGGAAGGACCAACTACATCTGTAATTTTTTAATTCCAATTCCCCAATTCGAGGATTCCAACGCCGCTTTTCACTAAAGTTCGAGAGTATTTGCAGAAATCCTTCAAGGTAATGAAATAAAACTTTTGGTTCCAGAGGAAATAAACATGATCCGAAAACACTCACAGCGATGAATGAAACTTGGATTCTGAACTACTGTTTTAAAATATATCAATATCAATATAACTATACCAATATTACGAGATGTGTTAAAAAGACATATGACGATTGTCGGTCTTAAGATGTGATAAGAGCCGGACTTTTTAAAATAAATTGTCGATGGTTTGAGAGAATTTGCAAACAGAGAACTTTGAATTCATTAAATCATATTCTGTGTCAGTTCGATGAATTGGAATGTTACTGACGGGACTTGACACGATGTGACCAATTTCCTTCACAAGAGTGTGAGTGAGTTGGTGAGTGAGTGAGTTGGGTTTTAGGCGTCTTCGAACAGTATTCAATAATATTCAGTTAAATCACTGCTTGTCAGGAAGGAAAGCTAAAAGTGATACATGTTTCAGTCGTTTAAAACTGTTGTCAAACGCTGGAGCAGACAAACTGAGAATCATGTTCAGGGCAAATTGTGACCTTCACATCCACGATCATAGGTTTCTGCCGTACCCAAGGGAAGCAACTCTGCATAGAGAATTGCGGTGTCATTGACGACTGACCGTCCGTACCTCTCCCCGATATAAGATGAGGTGCACATCACATCACAACCAAGGATAACATGTAAACAAGCCTTCGGATGCACTCGTCATATTCCGTCACCTTTCGGTAGCAATGGCGTACTGACGTAAAAATATATACCGTCAACTGCATACACATCGATCTGTCAGCAAGTAAATCATTCATTCAACATGACGACAGTTTTGAAACAAAAATATTCCTAATAGAAATACGGTTATGTATACGTCTTATATGAAGAATCACTTGTGACATGCAACGTGATACCACGTAACCTGGATAATCGTGTTCAAAATGGATTTCGCATTTTCGCATTCTGGTAATTCTCGCATTCGGGCAACGTGATATCATGTGACCTGGATAATCGTGTTCAAAATGGATTTCGCACAATGTTAACCGAGATAAACTCCAGGACTGTGTTGATCTGAGTGTGGGCACAGATATAAAATAGATAGCGTCGTCGTTTGAGACAATCCCTGTGAACTGTTGGGCTTGGTTTCATGTCCCAAGATAACCAACAGGTTACAAAGTGAGTACATGTTTGGACAGGTTTCGTGTGTCGTTGGTATGTAAGTTGACGAGTCCTCAGACAATATACAGTTCCGGCCAAAAGAAAGTGCACACTCAGTGCTTGACGGTGGCTTAAATGAGACTAATAAGAAATAGTTATTCACACTTTGCTAAGGATCAAATCATTGATTCAACAGAAAACTATGATGTGGGGACAAATTGTAAGCATGGATCCAAGTTTTCAGTATGTCATTTCATCTGGTGGATCCCATACCTGCTATTGACAGGATGTGTGTAGTACTTATCAATGACCCCTGCCATGATTTGCAAAATAGTTGACTGGTGCCATGAAAACCATTTTTATGGTTACTCATGTATCAAGTGCATACGGTTAGCTTAAAGTGGCTGTTTTCCTGAAGATGTGTTACCATATCACTATTTATCCAGTTTTAATGGATATAATTTCAAACTATAAATCTACGTTTAAGTAAAGTTGCGATTTTTTGTGATTCCTTAGCAAAGTGTGAGTAGTATAGCTATTCAATGAAGATGTAGTCGATACTGATGCCGAGTTTACATGCATCATTATCAATGTGTGTCTCAACAGTTGACGTCCTCATGGCGTCACAAGGTACAGTGCGTGAGTTTAGTTTTACGCCGCTTTTAACAATATTCCAGCAATATCACGGCGGGGGACACCTGACATGGGCTTCACATATTGTACCCATGTGGAGAATCGAACCGGATTGAGCGCTGAGTGCAAATCAGTAATAATTAGTATTGATTTTCCAGTGTGGAAGTTTAGAAGGTTTATTGGTTATGTCTTGGTCTTAATGCAGGATATATTACCACCCAGACACACACATCTCTTTATCATAGAATGCCATCCTGCAATTTAATCGTTGGTAGAGTATTCATTTATCATGATTCGGAACCTGCTTAAAAGTTGGACGTTTTCCTGGGATATGTTCAATAACATACCACCCTTGTTTAAAGTCGCATTACAGCAACATTCCAGCTGTCGGGAAACAATCTAGCTTGGACTAGACATTTAAGTGATTGACATCATGAGCACCGATCAACGCAACTGAGATTCAGTTACATGCATCAACCAAGTCGGCGAGCCTGAAAACTCGATCCGGTGAATATTACGAATTTACGACATGCGTGGATTGGTGAACTGGATATTCACGGCTACATATTACGTCACAAACTCAGAGATTCGTCAGTTGGAACTGACAACAGACATTCTAATCCTTTTGAAACTTGTAGACAGCGGCATTCATATCCCATAAGCAGTTTCTGAGTACGAAAACAATAATGTTTTGTCAATATATGATTTCAAGCAAACTAGAATATGAAAAACAAAGTTTGGCAATGACGTTATTACCAACAGATTACGGATTAAATAAAGTCATATTTAAGAATAGTGGCCTTATTATGTTAAAAGTATAATGTAGAGAGCCTGAAGGTTATTGGGCAGTAATTTCGCCTCGTTAAATGCAACTCTGCTTTATGAGATGTCACGTTTATACAAAATGGAATCAGCCCCTCGGGATATTGAAAATTGGGTAATCTTTTCCTCTGGCAGTTTATTTAACTTTTGTCAATGTTACTGCTGGTGGAGTGAAGTCCAGAGTTTCACCACAAGCTGAGCAGCATTTAGCTATGCCGAAATGCTTGGACCCATACATTATTACCTCCACTTTGTTGTTAAAACATTTCTATTTATTTTCCTTCACAATTATCGGAGGCTCTGCACTGTTTTGCAATTTTCCCATGATACCAACGCATGTCCTGGTGTTACCAACATAACACACATCATAATAGTGAGGAAATTATCTTTTGAGCCAATGACCAACGGATCCTGACACAGCTAAGGGACAGAACTCCGAACTGCGAATTATGGCACCACGACACCTCTGCCGTTTATTCCCCTTCTTGGGTTACTGGCAGTAGCAGAAAAATGGACTTGGCATTAATGTGTCCTTGGCATTAACATTGAAGTATCTAACCATCTGATCCTCCTCCTCTGGGTTGACATAGAGTCTCCCCGCCTTCATAGGCGGCGGCCCCGTCTGTGCCATCGTCAACGCCGACCCTGAAACAAAGGGCAAATAACTCCAGTCATAACAGGGTAATAGGAACCACAAAAATGTATTTGTTTATGAAATGCGCAGTTAAGAAAGAAGTGAGTGTCTGGCGTTTCAGCAGGAAAAGGCGTCAAGGGGAAACGAAAGGTAGTGAATGGAAGAATCGATGTCCAGCGTCCATTTAAAACCCGGAAACGGGTGACAGTGTTTTGGATTTTACGCCGCATTAAACCTAATTTCAGGTAAAACAATGCCTGTCAGTTTGATATGGGAGGGTGTACTGGTGCTGATTGTAGCGCAGCCTTGGGGATCCAATGTTCACAAACATGGTAACAGAAACATGGACTTGACATTGAATATTAATATTAATGTGTCCTTGACATTGGAGTGTCCTTGACATTGATATTGGAGTGTCCTTGACATTGATATTGGAGTGTCCTTGACATTGATATTGGAGTGTCCTTGACATTAACACTAAAGTGACCTTGGCATTAACAATCTGCTTCATATACCATCACGACAGCACAACAAACCGATGCGCTGCTGGTAAATGTGTTTACCGGGACCGGCTTTTGTGTGTGTGTGTGTGTGTGTGAGAGAGAGAGAGAGAGAGAGAGAGAGAGAGAGAGAGAGAGAGAGAGAGAGAGAGAGAGAGAGAGAGAGAGAGAGAGAGAGAGAGAGAGAGAGAGAGAGAGAGAGAGAGAGAGAGAGAGAGAGAGAGAGAGAGAGAGAGAGTGTGTGTGTGTGTGTGAGAGTGTGATGATAATCGACCCTCCTTAAAATTTATGTTCAAAATAAGTGCCCCTTCCTCCCCAGCCCCTGCATGTCATGTACAAACTCAATGACACCCAAAATTGACACCCCCTATCCCCACTGAACCAAATGGGTGACAACACCCACCCACCCCCCCCACCACCACCCTTTAAAATTCATCATCATCATCATCATCATCATCATCATCATCATCATCATCATCATCATCATCACCATCATCATCATCATCATCATCATCCCCTCTTGTCCCTAACCAGACAGGTCCTATGACAAGAAGGAATAAGAACTACCCCCAATGTACGGTTTTAAGTATGGTAAAAGCGTCTTTTCGGTTTCAGGTTAAGTAGTGTGTGCTGAGTAGAGCCACTGCCGGTGTCACGGTGGCCGGGCTCGTACCCAGGTCGAATGGAATACGATACACAGTGTAAGCATTCTAGGATGAATTCAAGTCTCATCCAAACAAGACATCACTGTGTGGAGGGTATTATATTTCGGTGTTGTAGGTTTATTGTAACATACCCTAATCTCTTTGAGTGACACAGCCCTGAGTCTAAAAATGTCATCGCCACCACGACCAGTACCACTATCATCATCATCAGTATCATCATCATCATCGTCGTCGTCGTTATCATCACCATCATCATTGTAAAGAAGTTCAATTTCATTCACTAACAGAAATGCTGTGCTTTTACATTTTCCTATTTCCCCAAAACCTAATACATGTCAGCGCCACAACCATCACCATTATTATCATCATCATCATCATCATCATCATCATCATCATCGTCGTCGTCGTCGTCGTCATCATCATCATCATCATTGTGCGTCAAGGGGAAGTTTAATTTCATTCACTAACAGAAATGCTGTGCTTTTACATTTTCCTATTTCCCAAAAACCTAACACATGTCAGCGCCACAACCATCACCACTATCATCATCATCATCGTCGTCGTCGTCGTCATCATCATCATCATCGTTGTCGTCGTCGTTATCATCACCATCATCATTGTAAAGAAGTTCAATTTCATGCACTATCAGAAATGCTGTGCTTTTACAGGTTCCTATTTCCTGTTCTGATATTTGAAAACATCTTTCCAATCCTAAATTCTTAAAAAGTGTTAGTACACAATAAAACTGTACACTGCCGTTATGATTGCACATGTAAATAATGTATTTTTCTCATAATTTCTTTTGGATTATAACGCTTCCTCTTTAATTTAAATATTAACTCCATCATTACTATGAGGATGATGGTATTGTCTGGAAACTAATTTTTCAAAGATTTACTTGTCAGTAAAGTGATTTACTTGTCCGCAAAATGATTTACTTATCAGGAAAGTAACGAAAGACTAGTGTCACGACTGTACCCTGTTAAACTACTTGGCGAGCATTTACGAGACGCAGTATTTCCAATGATCACAGACATCAGGGCATCTGATTTCTTACAAAATTAGGTGTTGTGTATTCAAGAAGGAGAAGAAGAAACAGTAGAAGAAGGAAACGAAGAGGGCGAAAATGTACTAAAGGTTGAAGAAGAAGGATAAAAAACAGTAGAAGAAGCAGTAGGGAAGGTGGAGGAAGAAGACGTAAAAATAGAAAAAGTAGAAGAAGAGAGAGAAAATAAGAAGTCAAAAGGTAGGAGAAGAAGTTGAAAAAGTAGTACTGGAAGAAATAAGGACATTACTTTATTGACATGCCATGTGCTGTTCAGGTACAATTACATCAAGATTCATTGCTGGAGTACAACCCCCCTCACGTGTTATACAGAGGGTGGAGGGGGCGGTGGGGTAGCCTCGTGGATAAAGCGTTCGCTCGGCACTCTGAAGACCCGGGTTCGAGTCCTTACATGGGTACAATGTGTGAAGCCTATTTCTGGTGTCCCACGCCGTGATACTGCTGGAATATTGCTAAAAGCAGCGTGAAACTAAACTCACTGTCATACAGAGGAGGACGTGAAATCTGATGTTTGGAGTTGAAGAAGGTCAGTGAAGAAGTGAAAAATGGGAGAATACCGGAAAATACGTTTCAAGATGGTCAAACACCTAGTTCCATCGTGCACAACTTCTATATTAATACTATTTCCAGAACTCGCGTTGATAAGTGATTGACTGAAAACACAGAACACGAGAGCAGAACAGAAGAGAGGTTTGTACACCTCCCAAACAGCGTTTTGAGGAGACCTGGCCCCGATTTCTCGAAACAAACTTAAGTTTTTACTCAAATTTCAAACTGAGTTTGACAATTTGAAACAGCTGAATTTTTAACTCAACTGCATTTTTTAAATAAAAAAGCCCAAACAACTTAAGTAATCTATGTACCAAACTCAAATTGTCTACTATGTTTGAGTTTAATATCGATTTCAGTTCATTCTGGGAAATGCATTTCCCTGCGTTTTCTCAAATTTGAGTCAAAACTCTAACTTAAGTCAAAACTCAGACTTAAGTTTGTTTCGAGAAATCGGGGCCTGGTCGACGTTTGTGTACATGGGTCAGCACAGATATAAAATCGCAGGTATAAAATCTCAATACATCACATTATTTATACAGCCCACTGGCAATAAAAAATTGAAGGGTCATAAAAAGAATCAGGACGAAAGTGTCTCACAACGAGTGGTGTTCATCTGACGTCACAGGGATTGGTTGGTTGGTTGGTTGGTTGTTTAACGCTGCACTCAGCAACATTCCAGCTATATGGCGTCGGTCTGTAAATTATCGAGTCTGGACCACACAATCCAGTGATCAACATCATGAGCATCGATCTACGCAATCAGGATACAGTGACATGTGTTAACCAAGTCAGCGAGCCTGAAAGCCCGATCCTGTTAGTCGCATGGGTTGGTGAAGACCAATTCTAAGCCGGATCTTCACAGGTCGTAAGCCGATGCTGAAGTAAGGGAGTTTCGATCACTTTAGTGCTGGAATAGGGAGTGACAGTATCACAGTGTATAGTCAAGTGCACTATCCTGTGTATACTTTATTTGGCCCTGTAGTTCAGTACTTATTGGGCGGTGGGGTAGCCTAGTGGTTAAAGCTTTCGCTCGTCACGTTGAAGACTGAGTGACTGACTGAGTTTGGTTTTACGCCGCTTTTAGCAATATTCCAGCAACATCACGGCGGGGACACCAGAAATGGGCTTCACACATTGTACCCATGTGGGGATTCGAACCCGGGTCTTCAGCGTGAGGGGCGGTGGGGTAGCCTAGTGGTTAAAGCTGGGGACTAGAGTTTTTGAGATATCAAGACTTTTTTACCCGCGTGGGAATTCTTTTAACAAGTGAAGGTAAGAGATAAAGAGCAATAAAATTCAACATACCGGATAACTAGAACTTCTTTCAAGGTACCCACGTGTTCGACACAACGAGGTTAGGTGTTATGCAAACAAGAAACTACTACTACTACAACAACAACAACAACAACGATAACAAGCAAAACAGTTTCAGAAGATGCGTGAATGAAAAAGTTAGCAAAAAACAATCAACTGGTATACTCATTGGAGTACTTTGCCCTTACGATTAACGTCAACACTTCACCTTATCGGTAAAGGTTGTATAATATAGCCATGGTCATGCAGGGCTTTGGGAGCTGGTCATATGGAGATAGAAGATATAATCACCTTAGCACAGACGGAGAAATATGTAATGTGAATGTAACTGACAAAGTTAATTGTACAGCATCAGCTTGAAGACTCGCCAAAACAATAGCTTTCAAAACCTAGAGAAATTGAATGGTGGGAACTCCACCATGACTGAAAATTATAGGACTTTTTAAGATATGTTGATTTAAGACAGATTGCTGACAGCCTTAAGATATAACATTAAAACTAGCATTTAGTTCCACTAAAACACGTGCATACATAATATTGCAGGTGTGTGTACGACGGTGATTTCATCAAGGGAACTAATCAGTCCCCTTAAGAGTATAGGTCTCCCTTCTTGCAGGATGAAACCACCCACTCACTAGGATAAAAACGCCCTCAGGGTGCAAGCATATTTTATTGTAATGTATGCTTTTATTAATTTTTATATCTTCTCCTCTCCTGGGTACCAAACACTTGTGTTTGTTTGTTGTTTCACGCCGCACTCACTCGGCGGTAATTAATCAGTCTGAACCAGACAATATTCAACATACCTCTATCGGCGGCGGTGGGAATGTGTAATCGAGTCTGAACCAGACAATCCAACGTGATCAACATAATGACCATCGATCTGCGAAAGTGTAATACGATGATATGTGTAAGCCGTAGTCAAAAGCGAGCCTAACCACTGAACGATCCCATTAAAACTCAACGTTTACAAACTGCGGCACGGGTTATAACAATTTGAAGACCAATGCCGCAGTTTATAACCGCGTTATTACATTACGTCAACCGGTACCAAATTAACCCGGACTTCCCCGGTATTGTATTAACAATTATAATTTAAAAACACGTCAACATTATGTTTTGTTACAGAGTCTATTTTCCAAACTCACTGACTTCCAATGAGGACCTGGCTATTGCACGTGGACAGTTGTGTAATTCATAATCAAACAGCGCTGTAATTGTATAACGTAAAGATTCCGTAAAGGTCACGTAAAGCACTAATGTCATTGACTCCTATCACAACACGGGATTGGCAAATGATATCGCGAAAAATAGATATGCATCGTCATGACCCGTCCTTACAAACGGTGTTAGAGCGATTTTTCACCTATGTGTTCCTGTGAAAAATATATCAGTTTCTCATAAAAATCAGAAAAGCAATCAGAAACGCATCCTCAAAGAGTGAGTGAGTGAGTTTAGTTTTACGCCGCACTCAGCAATATTCCAGCTTTATGATGGCGGTCTGTAAATAATCAAGTCTGGACCAGACAATCAACCAATGTGTCAACCAAGTCAGCGAGTCTGACCACCCGATCCCGTTGGTCGCCTCTTACGACAAGCATAGTCGCCTTTTGTGGCAAGCATGGGTTGCTGAAGACCTATTCCACCCCGGATCTTCACGGGTCGCATCCTCAAAGAACAGGAATGACAACCATTGAGATAAGCATAAGCATAAACAAAAGCATAATATATTTTAAAAGTCTCGCAACCTACCTGGTATAAAGAGAGCCTCCTACGATATCACACACAGAGCTGTAGCGATACATGTGACCTACATCGCGAACAAACATGTTCACAAACGAAACTGCCGGGCAAAAATAAGTATTTACATTCATGATTGGTGGTGACTAAAACTGAACCAAAATGAAATGTATATTCGATGGTAGTGTATCAGAAACAGATCGTAGTTGCGTCTTTGGGCATACGTTTACGTTGTTTGGCGATGCTTCACAGCCTTGTGACGTTTTGATGACGTTGCTATTTTCAAGGGAACACTTTCTTTTGCTCGGGAGTTTATATGAAGTGTATGTTTGTTTATAGCCGGGATTTGTATGTAGGGGGTTTGCTCGTTCTACATGAATAAATATACCGTGAGGAAACATAAACTATTTCTGTAAAGATGTCAAACGAGGGTCAGAGTTTCTGCGCAGAGTCTTTGTTCATCAGCCATACTGGTTCTAGTTATTATCAATGATTTGTGGAAAATATAAGGATGAAATTGAAGATAATAAATTATAATCCATTTTCATTCTTTACGGTTCACGCATGAGGGTATTGTTTTGACACACAGTACAATGACGCGCAACAATTACGTCATAATCAAAGGGAGACAAGTTTGGTGTTTATTGATTTAAAGTATGCTATATTTAGGATTACACTTTCCCAATGTTTATTGATTTAAGTTAGGTTCTTGTTTAAATATTGAATTTGTTTATAATTTAGGTAATTTAAACCTTTGAATGAGTGAGTGAGTGAGTGAGCGAGTGAGTTTTGTTTTAGCAAAATTCCAGCAATATCAACGAGCCTGACCACCCGATCCCGTTAGTCGCCTTTTACGACAAGCATGGGTTGCAGAAGACCAATTCTAACCGAGATCTTCACGGGTCGACGGTGGATGAACACGACGATGATAATTGTCTGCAGGCACCACAATCTTTACTCAATTTCAACCATGGTTGATTGCTTGGGCAAAATGAAATATCATACATCTCCGAAACTGCTTTACAAAATACACATATGGTTTAATTTACATTTCTTGTGGAAAGAATGCAATTTCAGGGCCACACTATTCCTTTTCAGCAAGAGATTTCAAAACATAGTCAACTATTTCACAAACATAAAATTCAGTATTCTAAAATCCCATGGCGAGATGACAGCGCCTTGATCTCATTGTTCCCAACTAAAACAGATGACATGTTTAATTCGACCTACCCGTACTTGATCAACAAAGGAAATTCAATTCAAGACATTGTTGTAATTTTTTAAGCGCGAACAGTTAAACATGAAGAAATAAAACACGATTTATCACCAGATTTATGTGCTAACATTATATCGTAATAAAGCAGGTGAATATTGCAACGACAATCACAACAATCTAACCGCCCCGAAGATACAGGTAACATTGTTGTGACCTAAATATATATCTTTACGATCCTCAGAGACTGGGATAGTTTGATCCCATCAGATACCGGGTTTGTTGAGATACAATGCAATCAGGGGCGCATCAAATTTAGAACCCTCTATGTGCCCAGGGCCTGTATACGAAGTCTTATTTGGGATAAAATATTTGAAATAACGTAAAACGAGCGATTTTTGTGTGTTCGACATGGTTTAAAAGATAAGGTCTACATCTTGGCGTTTTTACTATGGTAATTAAAATCAAATGATCGGGCTGAACTAAATTGAATCGCGACTGTGTTCGTGCTGTTTGCGAACAATAATTTTGACATGTTGGGGCATTTTGGAGCACGTGTACGAGAATGTTGGGTATAAGGTTAGTATATAATCTTGTGAAATGGCTTTATAACCTTGTGAAAATGAGCTTATAATCTTGTGAAAATGAGCTGATAATCTTGTGAAAATGAGCTGATAATCTTGAGCTGATAATCTTGTGAAAATGAGTCATAATCTGGTGAAAATGAGCTGATAATCTTGTGAAAATGAGCTTATAATCTTGTGAAAATATCATAATCTTGTGAAAGTAAGCTCAAAATCTTGTGAAAATGAATTCATAATCCCTGGGCAGTGAGCTGATAATTTTGTGAAAATGAGCTGATAATCTTGTGAAAGTGAGCTGATAATCTTGTGAAAATGAGTTCATGATCTTGTGAAAATGAGTTCATAATCTTATGAAAATGAGTTACTCTCTTGTGAAAATCAGCAATAAACATAGGCAACACGGACCACTTCTTCCTCAGAATCCCCTGAGATTTTAGGCAAGGTATAAAGTTCGTGCTTGTAGATATATGAGTAGAATGTTGCCAAAGGTAGTTCAAATCATCCTCACTGTCTGTTTTAAAGGCTCGGAAACTGTTATACATGATCTGGGACGGTGAGGTAGCCGAGTGCTCAAAGCGTTCGCTCGTCAATGTGTGAAGACCATTTCTGGTGTCCGCCGTCGTGATATTGCTGGAATATTGCTGAAAGCAAAGAACCTCTGTAGCTGACAGTATTTGTTTGCTTGACGCTGCACTCAGAAACGCAGAACTATTCCAGCAATACGATGGAGACCTGTAAATACTGAGTCTGGACTAGACAATCCGGTGACTGATGATTTGGTGAGCAATTTTCTACCACTGGTTGCTGGGGGCCTATACTAACTCGTTATCCCAGCAGGGCTGGTGGTGGAGTGGCGCTGACCAAGATACCACGTGAAGTCGCACAATACAGAACAATGCTTCTTGTTATAGCATGCACGTGCCGCGGGCATTTCTGTTTAATTGAATGTCGTGGGTTTTGTATTACTTGGATAATTAATAATATTTTTTATAACATCACCCACCCCCTCTAAGTAAGTAAGTAAGTAAGTAAGTTAGTAAGTTAGTAAGTAAGGAATGAATGAAGGAAGGAAGGAAGGAAGGAAGGAAAGAAAGAAAGAAAGAAATAAGATAAAATAAAATAAGTTAAATGATGAAATAAAATAAATAAAATGAGATAAAAAGGTAAGAAACTTTTAACAAATATATTTAAAACTTTTTATTTTTTTTTTACAAAATCAAACAAAATCAAAAACAAAGCACACATCATGGCTTCTCTGATTGAAATGATTTTTTATGCCCAAGGGATTTTTTCCCGAGACATCAAATTTCTCATGCAAATATATTTTATACACATATCGCCCTTATATATCAGATTAAAACACCTACATGACCGAAACATTCTTCCGCATCTGGTGAGAAATCACATCATATATGCCTGAGGGATTAGAGTCGGATGGCTGTTTGATGTCCCTTATTGCTTTTCGGGGCTGAATGCACTCGTATAACAGCCCCAAACGCGTATATGTATATTATACAAGTTGGTCAGGTAATGACTTAAGTCATGACACTCCTTTCCCCGCCAAAGGGCAATATTACCGTTTCGTCGAAGTCGCTGCCTTTGGGTAACGGTGTAGTGGATGACAGAGTCATCATCGCTTCCTACTTCGTCGGTGGTGGCAGGGTATATGTCCGTTGATCGGCCTCAGTCCGCGGTTGCACGACCACAGGGTTGACTTGGATGGGATCTCGGTGCTGCATCTGAATTTGGGCTGAAAACGGTTTCCTTGGAAATTCCATTTCAGGAGTGGCAGCTCCGTTGCACCCGTTGATGTAGTTGACGGAGACGTTGATACGTACATATACCTTTATTACAGTCGTTAGTCCTTCAACTGATCAAAACCGCAGAAACACCTATTGGGAGAGGTGAGAAGAATCTGGCTTGAGGATCTGTCGATGATGTTGTTCTTGAAGACGTCTTTGCTGTTTGCCGCGTGTGTTGGGGCTCTCGGTCACGTGATCCTGTACGATCCCCCTCAGCGTTCCTCCATCTGGAGGCACAGGGGGATGGACAAGACAGGATTAGCCAGGAAGAACCCTGACGACTTTGCCCTCAACTGCGGCGGTATGGGGGTAAGAATTCCTGATCTTCAAAGTATTTTCCGAATTCCATCTCCTTATGTAGAAGCATTTAAAATCTAACATATTATCATCTTTTTCGGATGTGATAAATGTAATCTTGAAGCGTTGTATCACCTGTTCATAATTCTTACCTCTGCGATCTTGATAACGGTCTGGCAGAGACACAGTTCGTGTTACTTGAATTTTACGCCGCTTTTGGCAATATTAAAGCAAAATCACCGCGGGGACACCAGAAATGGGATTCACACATTGTACCCATGTGGGAAATCGAACCCGGGACTTCAGCGTGGCGACGAACGCTTTAATCACTATTCTACCGCCACAATGTGTAGAGTTACGTCCCTTAGGTGCGCCAGGAGCCTACGGTCGTGGGTTCGAATCAAAGATTTGCCTTGATCATGTTTCGTTGGTTGTCAGCACCATTGCCTTGCTGGATGCCTTAAGTAAAGTGGTAAACGCTTTTAAAGACCTGTGTCGCATCGGGCTTTTCTTTACATAAAGTTGATATAACTCAACAGGAAATATAACTCACTCACTCAGTTCATAAGGAAAATGCTTCACATGTTTAACAAAATGATATAAGAAACAAATGGAAAGTTTCGGTGTATTCATAATATAGATATACATGTACTTCCCATCAAAACTCTAGACTCACTAGTGTATATATAGCCACTTACTACAGTCAACTGTTCTAAACTAAATTTGGCAAAATATACTGTTTAAAGATACAGTTTACACATGAACCGATGTATTGTAAAACAAATTCGAAACGTTGAAAAGAAATGTTGTCATGAGTTCAATAAATGAGTGTTTTAAGTGAGTCTAAACTTTTGATGGGAAGTATATTTGGAACTATGTATTTTCTTCCATAGCTCATATAAACTGATGTGTAAAAGAAAGTATACATTCATGTTTGACGGTGGCTAAAACGAAACAAGCATTAAACGGTTACTCGATGGCATTGTATCTGATTCGGTTTTTGGTTGCATGTTGAACCTCACTTTTGCAGTGTTTCGGCGACCGTTTACAGCATAGTATCGTTCTGACTTCGTTTGGGAAAGTACAGTTTTCAAGGTGATACTTTTTTGTGAACGGCAGTATATCGGCGGGTCCAGACATATACTAT